ATAGTGAACTAATTTGGTAGGATTTGGTATAAAGTATGGAGGGTTTTGCTTGGATATTTAGAATTCCTTTTCCTTCAGTTTTAATGAAGTAATTTCATCCAAGCAAAGCCCAGGTGAGCAATACAGGCCCTATGGACTTCTTGTTTTTGTGTAAATAAACAAGTGGAATTGTATAATAGCTATGGTACAATTGTTTGTTGTTTTATTGTGGCTGCGCTGACAGACATCAGAGGTATGTGCAAACAATTCATTGTTTATAAATATTTAGTTATATAATGTGACACATAAACAGTAACTACTACTTTTGTTTTCTCGGTCACATGTTTGCTTTCATCTTATCCATGATATCTTTCTCTTTGTCTCTGTTTAGTGTGGCTTCCTGGTTGTTAGTTTGAAAGTATGGAATGAAGGTTTATGACGTAAACATTTGTTTTATAATTATTTTCTAAGAAAGCATTTTAGATATGGTTACAGGGAGTTTTTTGGTTGCCTTTTTTCCTTTTTTTCAATAAATGTAGAACTATAGTAATATGATAACTTCAACAATAACTAAGTTTTATTTCTACATATCTACATATACCTGATGCCAAAAACTTTCATCTGTAGTAATTTCATATATCATATGGTAGCTGATGAGTAGTAATGTCAGTGTTCAAATAGTAGCAATACATTTACAGTATCAAGCAAAATGTAAGATCATTCTCATTCATTTGTCAGTGTGGAAAAATTTTTGAGAGTTAAAATATGTCTATGATTTTGATGTTTTAAGTTTGGCAACGTATACTGTATTATTTATAAAACTCTATCACAGCTCCTAACTTTTACTGTTAGCAGTTTAGATATTTGCATGTAATGAATTGAACATCCATCTATTTCATTGTTGATGAAGTGTCCCTCTCTCTGGCTCTCCTGTAAACATTTTTTTTACATATTTTTTAATGTCTTTTCTCTCCGTTGGATGACTGAAATTGTGTAATCTAAGCATGATTAATCAACGAACTTATTAAACCTGAGAGGAAAATATAAAAATAATGGCCAAGGAAAGGAGTTGGATACTGATAATGGCAGGAGCAATAGTAAGAGGCAGCAATGATACCTAGAGGGGCAGTAATGACTATGAGGCAATGAATACAAGAGGGACAGTGGTGATGTATACTAGAGGGACAGTGATGATATATACAAGAGGTACAGTGGTGATGTATACTAGAGGGACAATGATGTATACTAGAGGGACAAAGATGATGTATACTAGAGGGACAGTGATGATGTGTACTACAGGGACAGTGATGATGTGTACTACAGGGACAGTGATGATGTGTACTAGAGGGACAGTGATGATGTGTACTACAGGGACAGTGATGATGTGTACTAGAGGGACAGTGATGATGTGTACTAGAGGGACAGTGATGATGTGTACTAGAGGGACAGTGATGATGTATACTAGAGGGACAGTGATGATGTGTACTAGAGGGACAGTGATGATGTGTACTAGAGGGACAGTGATGATGTGTACTACAGGGACAGTGATGATGTGTACTAGAGGGACAGTGATGATGTATACTAGAGGGACAGTGATGATGTATACTAGAGGGACAGTGATGATGTATACTAGAGGGACAGTGATGATGTATACTAGAGGGACAGTGATGATGTATACTAGAGGGACAGTGATGATGTATACTAGAGGGACAAAGATGATGTATACTAGAGGGACTGTGGTGATGTATACTAGAGGGACAATGATGATGTATACTAGAGGGACAGTGATGATGAATACTAGAGGGACAGTGATGATGTATACTAGAGGGACAGTGATGATGTATACTAGAGGGACAGTGATGATGTATACTAGAGGGACAGTGATGATGAATACTAGAGGGACAGTGATGATGTATACTAGAGGAACAGTGAGGATTTATATAAGAGACAAACATTATATTTACTGGAAGGATAACAATAATGTTTATTGGGGAGATAAAGACTACAAGGAGGGTATTACTACATACGGAACAATGATAGCAAGGGGCAAATATAATCTGAAAGAAATTGGTAACCAGATATGAGTCTTATGGTGTGATATTAGACAGGTATGTGTAGTCAACATCACAGACTGTACTTGTGAGGTGTAATGATGTTGGGAAATATAATAAGGACATGACCTTGATGTTTGGTTATTTTGTAGGACATAACAAATCCTGCAATGGTGGACGACCCAGCTAAGGATCCTCAGTACAAGGAAGCAGCTATTGACTCTCTGAGGGCTCAGAAAGACGAGGTAAGCAATGGTACACACCAATGTTAACTGTCAAATTATCACTTGTGACAAGGAAGCAGCTATTGACTCTCTAAGGGCTCAGAAAGACGAGGTAAGCAATGGTACACAAAAATGTTAACTGTCAAATTATCACTTGTGACAAGGAAGCAGCTAACTCTCTGAGGGCTCAAAAAGACAAGGTAAGCAATGGTACACACCAATGTTAACTGTCAAATTATCATTTGTGAATGGGTTTGTCTTTAGATCCTGCTGGTAGGATTCCACAGTGAATGGTCGCTGTCTTGTATCTGTGGCCAAGGGACCTTTACCAGACTGGTACACCAGAGCTATCAGAATAAGATTGCTGGTTTTGCTGAAAACAGAGAACTTCAGTAACCAGTCCATCAGTCAGGAGTATATTGACTAGTGTAGTAACATTCCTAAAGATTAAAATGGCTCTGATATAACTTTGTGTTGGGAGGGGGGGGGGGGGTTGCTAATGTCTCTTTCTACTCACCGCCTTTTGTACAATAAATCTTGCATCTGATAAAATTGATGGGTTTGTATGTGTAATAGGGATAGGAGAATAGCAAGGATCTACTGAATTGATTGTGACACAGATGAAGACGGGAGAGGTAATTTTGTAACCATGGAGACTTTACTGTGTCAGATCCAGGCTTAAACAGGAGAAACATAACATAACAAGATGGTTTACGATTTCTTTTATTTACTGTTGTATAAAGATTTAGTGTAGGGTAGTACATATGTACAATCATGTATTGTCATTGTTTATGTTTCTGTCCACAGGAGTTGGAGCGCTACCGACGAATGTCAGAGAGAAAAGCAAAGAGTGCAAAAAAATACGCTGACAAATTTTCATCATAGATTTACTAGGTAACAATACTTCTATATACCTTTGTTTGGTAGTCAGGGTTCATTTGGCACAAGTTTTCCTCAGATATGTCAACTTTATCCATCAATCATACAACATTTATACCTGACCAGTAATTTGATCAATGAATCCACTTCATAAACATCCAAATTTACAAAGGAGAAAAAGACAAAAACTTCGGAAGATTTTCCTCTGATGGTCATTAAATACCCCCAGAGAACCTTGACATGCTTTTCATCTTTGAACAACAGAGAAACAACATTTGGTCTCTATTATCTATATTACAGTATATAAGTTAATGTTTACTTACATATCAAGGCATGAGTGAAATGTTCTTTAAAAGGTCTATGAATCAGATATGAATTATAAATGCCTGTAATGACAGTTTACTTGTTTCCTGAACTCTTTTTCACAATTTAATTCAAAGTTATGAGATATGTCTCCCTATGGCAGATGAGCAATACAAGCCTTTTGGGGTTCGTGTTTGTTTCTTCTTGAACCTACACTGCTTGTTCAATATTGTATTTAGAATAGGCTATTGTGTAAATAGTAAGTAAATGGTGTGCAGTACTTGTCTGTGGAAGTGTTGTCCTTCACATCAAGTGGTCCACTTAAATCTGTAAGGGGGACAGATAGATCTGATCCGAGTGTAGACCACCAGCTATAGAGGAAGTGCACATGACTTCCTGTATATAAGAAAAGTACTTAAGTAATTACACCTAAATCTATAATTCAGGTCTGTTTAGCTTTTTATGAAAGAAAGACATTAATTTATACACAGGTTTGTGGTCAGGAAGTGGTAAGTTGAAAGTGTAGTACCCTTTGTAGGAACAGAACTGACAGAGTATGACGCTACAACTCTGAGTATATATAACACTTCTTGTGGAACTTGTTCAACCTCCTGTTGTAAACAGAGTATGTGGGACCTATTCAGGGCCAACACTCTACACCTGTTGTATACAGAGTGTATGGGACCTATTCAGGGACAACACTCTACACCTCCTGTTGTATACAGAGTGTATGGGACATGTTCAGGGACAGCACTCTACACCTCCTGTTGTATACAGAGTGTATGGGACATGTTCATGGACAGCACTCTACACCTCCTGCTCGATACAGAATATATTTGTACCTGTTCAGGGCTAGCACTCTACACCTCCTGCTCGATACAGAATATATTTGTACCTGTTCAGGGCTAGCACTCTTCACCTCCTGTCGTACTTACACGTGTTCTTTGTGTTTCTACAACCCTCCTCTCAGGTTTCCACTGATCTTTAAAGAATCAGTTAAGCGTAACTCTGGAACAATCTCATGTTGTTGACAATATGAGGCCACTGACAGAGATGCAGACGAGGGGTGACATTATCATTTAGATTTTTATCGGTCTGACGATCGCGGCAGTACTTCTTTATCATACTGAGCTCACACACAATTAAAAATCACACACTTTAAAGATTGGGTTTGAATCCCAAGATTGAATTTGAGATTAGTGATTTTAGAAACAGCATGCATCAAAGGGAACTTTAAAGAGATTGTCACTCCCACTTTCCTTCCTTGTGATCTGTACAAGGTAGCTACTATACTTCCCCCAAGTCTAGAATTCAGTACCTATGTCCTCATCAAAGTATACCATGAAGTCTACATGTTTTGGTACTTAGGTGACAATAATTTGAAATTTTTAAAAATTTTCTCCTTTTTATTTCAGGTGTTTTATGAGGATGACTACCTGTATGAAAGTGCTGGACATTACAGGGACTTGACGTGGTTTTGAACAATGACAACAACTGCTCCAGGTCAATTTAATTTAGGAAAGTGGATGGGAGGGCATGCAATCCAGAGACACAGTCTACAGTGGGACTGAGCAAAGTTAACTCATTTGAGGTGTAATTGAAGCTGACGACAAGATATGTCTTATTTCACACCTGTAGTAGCTATATAGAGTGAGAGAATTGTTAGTGGATACACAGAAGTTTGAAAGCAATACAATTTGTGGATTATATATCAGAGTTATGCCAGCTATATGTATGCTTCATCAGGTCTTGCTAGAACTTACTAATACATGTGATCTGTAACATGACTATACATAAACATGGATAAAAGATCAATGTATACAGATACTCAAAAATGTTAGAATCTGATATCAGAATATTTTGTTACATTTATTAAGACAAATTACTGCTTAATATTTTGAGATCTCTGAAATTTTGAAGATCAATTTTTTTCTTGTTCTTTGAATGAAGATTACTGAGATAGATTTTGATATCAAGTTGTAGAATGTCTGAATTCTGGTAACTTATCACAAGCAGCAACATGATTTTCCTTTTTCTTCTAGATTATCATGTCTCCTTTTTAACTTTTATAGAGATAAGTTCTATGTACCATGGACTTGAATAATTCATTGAAAACCAGTCTCATTAGACAGCCAGTGTTATGCAACATATTGCAGATTAGACAGGATGTCAGAATATGCAGGTTTTATGTCATAACTTTTATAAGAAATGAGATATGAAGTTTAATCAAACAGGTTTTTGCATGTTATTATGTAATTGTACATGTATGGAGAGCGAAAGTTTATGACAGATGATAGTAAATTATGAATATTTATTTATGTTTAAACATTCCGTCCATTTGAAATACAGAGATGAATTTTACTTGCTGTTTTTGTTATGTTAATATCTCTTCCACACATGGTCAGTTACACAGATGGGAAAATTTAAGAATTATCACAGTGTAAATAAAGTGATAAGCATTACCAGTTTACAACATTGCCCATTGGCCGAGAAAGTGTTCAGCTTAGGCAAAAAAGTCTAATGTGTCTTGACTTAAGAAATAAATATCCCGTTATCATGGAAACACTTTATCTTAAAATGTACATATTTGAGTTGTCATAGCATATAGACTGTTCAAACTTTGATCTTCAAGCTTCACATACAAGTTATTCACACTGACTAACTGCCATGGAACCTGGTGGCAACCATTGTTTGATCTTCATTTGGTCTTTAAAAGTTGGATCTTTTCCTTTCTTTTGTATTCTTTTCTTTGTTTGTACTTTTATTATATGAAATTTGAAAATTCCTTTTAAGAAATAGTGACAATAATCTTTAATGATGGCCACATTTCGGCCAATTTGATCAGTCCTAAAATAGAAATCCAAGATGGCTACCTGTCACTCATAGTCCTATTTTTTCCTTTTTTTCTGATTCTTTGTTATGAAGTGTGAGAAAGATCCATCCAGTATTTCTTCAAGAAGTAACAATAACAAACTTTCATTTTCAAAATCAATGATTGCCAGATGTCAGCATTTCATTTTTTTATAAAGAGTCCCAAAATTAAGAGGGCACAACTTAGGACCAAAGGAAACCTACATAGGATATTTGACAGAGATCCAATCACTACTTCCCAAGAAAATAATGTAAATCAGATAAAATACTAACTGCTATGCACTTGTTCAGCTAGGGAGAACTTTTCTTTAGCTCATTCAGTTGAGTGTCAGGCTAGGATGCCAAAGATCCTGGGTTTGAATCCTAGCAAGGGCATGGAAACAAATAACCTCTGCTAAATTGGTCTCCATGTAGTGACTACATAGTGGTACATTCACAAACATCAGTGTAACTACTGGAAACTTGTGTACAACTTATTTTCAGAAAGAGGGTTATGTAACCTTAGTAAAATAATAGATGCAGTATACTGCTCAGCTAGAGAGAACTTCTCTTTAGCTTGATTGGTTATGCACATTTTGGGACCAAGGTGAACCTACATATGAAATTTGAGAATGATCCATTCAATGCTTATAGCTATAACTATTACTGTCAAAATCCAAGATGGCTGCCTATCAGCCATATTATTTTTCAGGTCAGTCCCAAACCACACAATACACAACTAGGGACCAAGCAAAACTGATTTGTGTATGAAATAAAAAATGATCCATCTAGGACTTCTCAAGAAAGAGTGGTTGCAAGAATCATTTAAGGGGAGACGGATGCCAGATCACTGAATATTTTTATACAATCTGATGATAGTGGGCTAAAAACTGTAGGATTTGTTAAAAACATCACTGTGAAGGGATAAACATTTGCACAAATATGAAAAAATGGCATACTTTTTAATTTTGATTCCAGTACAAATCCATGTTCTTTAGACACCAACCAATAAACAAAACTGCATCCTACAGCTGGTTCATCTTTCTAGAACTCCCCAAGGGATCAAATGCCTTAAAAATCAAAAGCAGACTTATCAGATGTTAAAACTCCAATTGGAAGGTACTACATGTGATATGTAACAGGCCATTGGCATTTGATGGACACACATTCTTAGCTGGCCTGGCCCATAGGTCCAAGGGAGCTTACACTCTAGTATGGCATCTGTCGTCCATCTGGCATCAGCTTCCTATTTAAAAGACTCCTCAGTAGCCAACCCACCAAATGTGTATTTAGTGGGTGGGTTGCTAGGCTGAAGTCTGACGGAGAAAAAAAATACCTTTACGCTCTTTCCAAGGTCACAGGGGTCAACTTTGTGAAAAACTTATAACAACTTCTTCAGACTAACCAAACTAGGCAGAAGGAAGGTAACTGACCGATTGGTTCCTGGAATGGAACTCAATAAAGTTTGCTAAAAGAAATTGCCTTGACCCATATTCAAGATCAGAGGGTCCAATTTGTTAAAGCCTTACAAACTTCTTCAGACCAACCAAATGGCCAGAAGCATATTTTGTTGATAGGTTCTTAGGAGGAAGCCAGATGATATTTGCTAAAAAAGAAATAGACTTTAACCATTATTCAAGGTCACAAGGTTGAAATTTGTTAAAACCTTCAAACAACTTCTTTTAACTAACCAAAAGTCAGAGAAGCAGGATATTTGGTGGAAAGGTGTTTCTAGGTCAAAGCCCAACGAAATTCAATTAAAAAAATGGGGATTTATCTACAACCCAGATCTTAACTGTCACCGTTAAGAATTGAGTGTTGGAAGCTGTTGGAAGTGGTGGTTAACAGTTGATTGGATGTGCCCAATTTGATTGCCAATGATGGATGTATTAATGTATTTGTGATAAACACCAATTCTATCTTTGATGAACACTGAATACCAAGTGAGTGATACAGGCGCAATGGACCTTTTGTTTTTGATGTTTAGTATCTGAAGTTTCAAAAATTGTAAGAGATTTATTGTTCAAACAGTAAAAAAAACATTTTTCATACAATGAACCCAAGAGAATCCATCTGCAAAATCATCATCTTTGAGTAATGAATTGAAGTTCAGAGGACACATGTAGAATCATCTCTCTTACTTTTGTGATATGCCAACAATAAGTTAGATATTTCTTTGGTATTCACAGACTTTCTATAATTCTGTCTGGTTACTAGACATTTATTTTGAAAGTCTGGTGCAAAGATGTCATTGATTGTTTTTTTTTTCTTCAAATATAAGCACAAGCTGGAATCTGATTTGTCATATTCAGTATCTGTATTCTCAATTGAAACAGAAGTTACTGTTCCCTTCAGTTTGTATATCAAAACACTTTGTATATGTTTTTTCAATTAGATAGGGAGCATTCTCAAAATTTCTGTGAAACTGGATTTATTTAGTTGATAACCCAGTTGTATTTTAATATTTTCCAACTAAACTGCATCCACCACACAATGTCAGCAAAAAATTTCACATTTATTTATTGAATGTCTGAATCAAGCACATTATAAAAAGACATCTCTGTTTGATATAAAGCAATCATTTGTAGCAACAATGATATGAGATTTGCAAAAGAGACAATATATATATGGATAAATTTTCCAATAACGTCCTCATACATATCTGACACAAAAAAAATTAAAAACTACACTTGGTTCCAGTCTCGTTCAGACGATTTTGTAAACTGCATTTTCATCACATGCCATTTTTTACAATTTTTTCACAAATTTTTTAATCACTTTGCTTTTTTTTCAACTCTTTTTCCAATCGATGTGATTCTACATGAACGTTACAGATGTATCTAGCTGTCATTTCCCCCCAGAGAACCGTTAACATAGACAATCCAATATACACACATCATGACAAGCTCCCTGCTGTTTCTCTCCTCTTCTACGGGTGCTGTGACGGTCGTGGAAATCAGATTCGACGGATGTTTGCTAGTCGGACACAAAAAGGGATTATTTTTATATCAGTGTAGTATGGTTTCATATTAATCCTTAGAACAGAATAAATGAATTCTTGGAGAATCTGCGATCGCGATAATTCTTTTTATTAAAAATTTATGGTTTAAACGCGAGGAAAATGGCAACACAAAATATAGACTGTAACGAATCATTAGCAACCTGGAATAGATTTTCAAAATATTCTAAAGTATTGGTTACATAACTCACTTTGTTACTGGATATATTTATGGTCTGAATCCACGATATACTCCTGTCGTTGCCATGACGAGCATTGTGACGCTGATCCCAATGTTGCAGTTATCCTTCCAGTTGAAAAGGATAATCAACCTCGACATTTATTATAACGACAGACTCAGATCGAAATGTGAGGTGGAGAGTAAAATTGTGATAATTTTTTTGACGTATTACTATTTACATTTCTCTGCTTCTAGTATGTCGGAAAGCCACTGTCAAAGGTCATACGGCGAAAAAGCGAAACAAATGATCGCTAAAACGCGACCTTCATTCTGGTCTTTTCGTTTTTTCGTCCCGAAAACTTTTCGTTTCATCCTACGACTCTGTCTCGTGTGCTAGAACCAAACTTCTTGATCTAATCTCCAATATATCCCCTAAATCGAAACTAGTGTGCTTAGTTGCCTGCTTGTCAGTCTTCAATCACGTTTCACATGGATTAAGAAAGATGGACAAATTGTTCACGTATTGCGCGGTTGACGGTTCGCTTAATCTCAAAGTTTACTTCGGGTTTTCTTCATCAAAGTTTCACATTCACAGTCACCCAGTCTCGTGTCCACGCTCCTCCTTACCCCTTTTTTCTAACTATTGAGTCGTCACTGGGTGAAATGAAAATCTAGCTTTACTTGTAGGACTTAAGATACGCTCTCTTTTGTTGTTTCAATCTTCGATGTTTTTTTTGTGTTGCCGTATCGTTTCATTGTCCTCCCTTCTTCTAGCTTAACAATGATCCGATTTTACCACTTGAAGAGTCATCAGTTTCAGATTATATAAAACATGTGATTTGGTGCTTTTCCTGGTCAGCCAAAGCGTTAGCCATTTTTATGCCGATCCTTGGTTTAAATAGGTCGGCTTTGGATTGTACACCAAGAACATATGTGGCCATATTGGCGGACTCAACTTCAAGTTACCTTTTTGTCCCTTCTCCGTTTATGATTGGTTTATTATAGACGTGTTTTGTTATTTAGGAAACCAACCGAGTACGTGGCGTACTCTTTATCAAGTACTGATTCACTTGGTGTAGTAGGCATACATGGGGCTCGGCGTCAACAACCTAACTGAAGCTTATATTATGTTACGTGTCTCCAATTCTGGTGACGATTCCCCAGACGAGGACTTGTCAGTTGTCTTGACAGGTGTGAGTGGGTTATCGTAGTGATTTTGATAGAACTGAGTGAAACGCAGTAAAAACGGCCCACGTCTGAATTTATGTGGAGAATTGCAAAGCTGATGAATTTTTAATGAAGTCAATTTTAAATCGGTTAAATTTTCTTTCCGGTTGCAGCACAACGTATATCTACGTCCCTGATAAATATATGAATGTCTCTCTCTTTTAATAATATCGTTTATTCAATTTGAAGAAGACATAATCATTATGTTTCTTAAACATATCTGCTGAAAACAATCCAGTTGCCATAATTACGTTTCAAGTTGTGTTTTTACTTTACACTTTACTAACAGACTCAAGAACCACGGTTTTCACATTCGGTTGGTGATCGATATTCACTTTAAGTTTCGCAGTAATTGTTAGGTATATGGTATGGATTATGACACTGTCGAGCCAACATAGTTCAGAACACCATAATTGGTGTCATATGTAGAGCTGGAAAAGAATAGACAGTCAGTTTGGTTACATTTTTCTTCGGTTTACTATCCTTTTGTTTTGTTCTGACTGTCAAATAATTGCCTTTTCAATTTGACATTTATACTCTATGAGTATCGGATAGGACATACCGACTCTTGACGTACAATAAGTCTTTTTATATACCAATATTGCGTACACCACACATAATAAGCGTTCCTGAAGTTACATAGATATACATAGAAAACCGAATCAGATGCATAATGTTTATTTGTGATGTAATGTTATTAACACTGACTTTTAGATAATCAAAGCTAGCTTTCCATGTAAAAAATACGTCTTCTGGTGTTATGTGAAACATCTATTGAGATAGGCATTCTAATACAAATTGAAATACTGTCGCACTGAGGTAAGCTGGATTATTTTATAAATAGGTGCTCTCTTTTGCTTATCACTTGCCAAGCCGAATCGGACGACCACCACGGTGCAAAACCAAAAGTTATGTACAAACCTTAGGTGATCTTAGATGTCTTTACACACACATATAAATATATGTGTATATTTAAATCAGTGATCCGATCGTGTGTTACAGGTTGTGACAACATTGTACGCCTATAATTTATTAAGAATAAGACCGCCTACTCATCCGGTACCTGTACCTACATTTGTAAACTGGGTAATTGTCGCCAATATGCAATGCCAACTGTATGATAATTGAGTTAACCTATGTATTGATTTACGTAGTCATTGACTGACATAAGCATTTTCAATAGGCATCCATGTGTTTAGTAAAATAACAAAAATCCGGTATCATGATTACATCACCCTCCCCCGCAATCTGCATCACGGTTTATAAGATCAGGAGATAACACCAAAATTAAGGATCAGATGCCAGCATTGACTCGTTAGAAAATTTTACCCATCAAAATAATGAGCTTGTCACGTAATACATTTAAAATTGCGACAAGGCTAAGAATAGAAGACGTCTATTCTTAGCCTAAGTAAAAACTACATGGTTTTTGGGTCTCTGGTGTTTTAAGCATGTTTCCTGTGCGCATGCGTAATCGTCAGTTGTAACCGAGTACCTGTTGTAGGATATATCAGGATCTTCCGCTTGCAGTGTTTTGATTCATTATTTCGTTTCTGTTATATATTACCTTTACTGGATATCGTGCGAGGTTTACTAGGACGTTTTGTAGCGGACAGTTCCCCGTCTGGCACACTGTAACTTCGGAATGGGCGTAATTTGGATAAATATTTCGATGGTTCTGCATTGCTGAAACGCCATGATTCTGGACTCGGATCTTTGAGCGTGCTGTTGAATACGCGTGTCAGAAGAGAAAGAGCGACAGTACACACTGATACGCTATACGTTTACAGGTGAGCATAAGTAGTCAAGTTCTTCAAGTTTTGTATGTTATGTCTGGGAATGTCTACAAAGAATATAGGTACAGACACGGATTAAAAATGGCTGCCACCACCGTGAATATTCCACTTTCGTACTCCGAGTAGTGATTAAATAAGAGTTGACAGTATATACGTTAATATTACTACTTTATTGTCTTAATGATCGTGACAATCCTACGTTGGAACCTTTAACGTGATCAATTACGTTTCTATATTTTTGTTTTAATTTAAATACGCGTTATCTAAAGATCAAGGTAAATGCAAATCTGTCCTATTTCCCAGGGTTGTTGAACCGTGACCGATATCACTTCATAGAACTTAGGAATGTAGGGCGTGAATACGAACAGCACGCCTTGACCTTTTGCTTTGTAACCCTACCTTTCGGCCCGTATATGACCTCTTATCTACATCATTTGTGTACCCTTTAGATACAAATATTACTTCACATCCAGGTAGATCATGCAACAGCCAGGTAGGTTGGTTTAAATTGATTATGCTGGTCACAGGTAGCAAACATTTAGATTATCTTGTCCGGTACATGGTTCACATCACAGGTAGAATGCTGGTAGGGAAGAGGTAATGTAAACAACCTCGTTTAGAATGAATCCTAATTATAATATAGCAATGGTCACTGATGATAGTGTCATTAAACAAGTTGTTTGTTTAAATATATAATAGGTAACATTGTATAACAAATGTATATATATTATTTTAGAAAGCAGACACTATTCAGTTAAATTATATTCACAGATGAATAATGTGGTTATTTTTTTTATAGAGGAATTAGTTTTTGATCATGAAGAATCACATAATTATTTACAGTGGTGATATTCAGAAACATATTTTAAAAGTACAGGTCTAGATAATCCAGTTAGGTGAAGTTTTTGTAAATATGTGTTTAGATCAGCCAATCAGGTGTTCCAAAACAAAAATGGTCAGAAAATTTACACAGGTTTAGATCCACAACACATGTTAATGTTGTGATCACGCATCTAAATGAGTCATGACCAGGGTTGAATGGCAGAATTAATTATACACCATTTATCATAGAGAGTAGATATGAAGAGCTTTCCCAAGGGTTTATTTGTGGTGACAGGTTTAACTTAGATTAGCAGAGTAAATATGGAGTATAAGGTGTCAAAAGTTTTGAAATACAAGCACTTTAACCTTTCATTGTTGTATCCTTACATGGCAAAACCAGTTTGGAAGAAAAGTGTGTGCTAAGTTAGTTTGATTTACCAGAGTTAATGTCAACATTCTTGTCAGTATAAGAAAGGGGATAATCTGTTTACTTAAACATACTATTGGCATCAAGAGCAGTGGAAATGTAGGTGCTAATGCACTTATAAGCACCTTAAAAACCATGACAACATTGGTCAACACAACAATATCATGTGATTTCATTTCAGACCTGGTTTATGAAATGCATGATACAGATATGTTGAATTACACAACAAACTAATACAATAATTTAAGTGTGACATTAAACATGATTCAGCTTGAATTCATTATAAAAGAGATGTGCAATTGAATAATCAGTTCTAAACTGAAGTTATGTATCAATATGGATATTCAGAGAGCAGGTACACATTGGAATAGTTTCAATTGGTGGCACGTTAAAATTGCGATTTTCACGACATTTCAGTTGACAGATGTTTTGAGAATGGATTTGCGACCAATGGTTCAACAACAGTAAAAATCTTAGATTGTTTTGTCCTATTTTACAGCCTAGAGCAAACAGGTTGTTTCAAATAGCTAAAAAGTGTTTTAATTTACCAAAATGAAGAAAAAGTCTGGGATGACTTTGAATATAGTATACAGACACATATTGCTGTAGAAATAAGAAAGAAATCAGAATATTGAATAGAGTTGTGGTTATTGGGACTCGGATGTTGGAGTCGTGGTCGTGTGCTTTTCTTGCTGAATTTTGAGAACCCGCTGTATGTTTTATTATTTGGACTTGTCAAAATTTTGGTAATGGTGCTTTGGACTTGCTTGATAAAATATCATCCTTCACAAGTTTCTGATTTCACTGTACATATTATGTAATATGTCTGTGATTTGAAAATGATGATCATGAGCAGGACTTTCTAAAGACGCCAAGCACAGCTCACTTGAAGAAAAATCCTTCTCATTTCACTGGTTACTCATGTCAGACCCTGCAGTTGCGTATGATAATTAAGACACTTACACAGACATGACAGACACTTAAATATTAATCTTTAGGCTTTTGTAAGGGATATTTTCCTAGCACAAGGACCAGGGAACAATGATATTGTTTATGGTTCAGATTCCTAGCTTTAATCTTATCCTGCATCTACATGTAGATGTTTTTGGAAATTTCTATCACAAAGCCAGAAAGCAATCACAACTTTGTCAGCTAGTGACAGTAAGTGCTCTTGAATTGCCTTCTGATCAGGGTTTTGATGCAGAAATAATTGAACCTATAAATTCCCAACTTGTGGCTCCAGGTCTGTGTAGTGTTATTGGATGCACAATGTGTCCACAGAGATCCCTATTGACAATACTTGTATGTCAAAACAAAACCAGGCTTTATATCATGAAAGGGATGAAACTGCCTATGAATATTCTCATTGAAGAAATGAAACTGTCCATTCCCATTGTAGAAAAGAAACTGGCCAGGAATATTTCCATAGAAGACATTCAGAATCAGACAAATGAGGAACTTTGTCAACCTTCACATTGTACAGTGTATTTAAACTCAATTTGTTATAGTCTTGCTAGCTTGTTCATTGCTCCATCTTGAAGGGCATCCTTCCAATATATTGAAATCTCTTACCAGCAGGGCTCTCGATCTGCCAGATTTGGGGCTGATATTCGGCCCCATTCCCAATGCAAGATAGTATCTTTTTTTCCAAATTTAGACCTTAAGTTTTCCCAATTCTAAGGAAAATGCCGCTATTTTTCCCAATTCTAAGGGCCCCAGTCCCAAAATGGGGTGTGAGAGCCCTGACCAGGTACCATGTTGTATATTTTTTGATATCATGATTGGTGATGTCATTCAGTGAATGAACTCCTGTTATTGGTACATGACTGACTGTGATGTCATCAGAAGATGATAATGAAAAGATATCACACACTAGCAGATTACATGATGACATCACTATGGAAAGCTTATAGCTTAAAAAAAACCAAGATGACTCCAAAAAGGACCTGAAAAAATAGGTCTTCTGCAAAAGTAATGGATCATATGCAGACATCCAATTAGAAGAATAAAGAGTTATAATTTGTTTTCATTTGTGATCTCTGAAACTTACATAGATTTTATAGGAAACGAAAACTAAGACAGTTTCTTGACTAGCAAACTTTTACATGTACATATATTGAAACGTTACAGAAATTGAAATTAATGATGTTCAAGATTCAGTAAACCTAACAGAATGTAACAAGGTATGAGATGTCAATTACATACAATTGCATGTTTTGGTGAATTACTTTCATATAGCCATACGCTATAGTCAAAGTTGAATCCTGTATAAAGATCATTCAAGGATGCACAGAACATGTGGCCTTTGTAGAAAAGGATCATGTACACAAATTGTATGATGTTGGGATTCAGAATACATGTAAGTGGTCTTTATAGACAGGTATTTTTAAGAGGTGACTTAAGTTTGACAGCTTTTGTTTGTGACGGATATTAAAATATTACTAGTGGTAGGTAATGAGGTGTAGTACTACCAGATATCTCTACTCGGATGTAACCTTATGTGACATTTAGTGGATTACAGTGTATAGAAGGAAAGAGCTCAAGATCAATATCCCCATATACTGAAAAATCAATCATCATCGTCAAAATAAGCACAGAATTTTGTTTTGTTTGTTACTATAACAATTTTGTTTCTTTGTTTACGTCATTTATCGCCTTATGAATAGTCAAGGTCATTATGAGGCAGATTGACCTTGTAGTAGCAGGGCTCTCGATCTGCCAGATTTTGGGCCGATATTCGGCCCCATACCCAATGCAAAATAGTATCTTTTTTTCCCAATTTAGATCCCAAGTTTTCCCAATTCTAAGGAAAACACCATTATTTTTCCCAATTCAAAGGGGCCCCGGCCCCCAGTCCCAAAATGGGGTGTGAAAGCCCTGAGTAGCTATTGGCTACCTCACTGAACAACATACAGGAGGCAAGACACATGTCGTCTAAAGCAGTTAGGGTAAAGTAAAGCCCAATAACACAACTGCTTTAGTACCAAAATTCAGCTTTCTGAGAAACACAAACCCCATTGGTAGGGAACATCAAACCATACACATTAGATCTTCACAGGTTGTGCAGCTAGGTAACACTCTAATTGACTAAGCAACTGTGGCCCAAATGATGATGAAAAGACAAAATTGTTGCATATGGTATTTGTAATTCACATTTTACGATACTGGATTCATATTGTATCACTGATTTGTAAATAAAACTTTGGAAATGAAGATATCTCCAAAAACGTTATAATATTTTATAAGATATCTCAGAATCACGATGATGATTATCTTTTGTATCACTACTGTAATAATGTATTTATAGAGTGAGAATTTAATTCAATATCACCATCAGTTATATTAATTATTCATGAAAATTAATTACGTTTGTAGAGACTTGTAGTAAGTGTCAATTTACTATATTTATGATTATGAATGGTTGGCATTACATTTCAGTGTAAATGTATAATGTATATGACTCAACGTTTAATGTGCCTGTTGCTTGATACTGTTTTTTAATTGGTTGGTATACTGATAATTCGATGTGAATATATATATGGAGACAGTCCCAGCAGGTACACAAGTACGTTTACCATTATGATGTCATAGGTTTATGTACAAGTACCAGTCCATTGTATTTAGTAGAATTCTGCATTGACATTTCCTTTGGGAGAGAGTGTAGAAAGGGCAGGGGGAGGGAGTACATATATCTGTAATATTAGAAGTATATAGATATAAACTAAGGTATCAGGCAATACTGCTGAACAGGAGTTTCTTGTATTTTATTTTAACATGCAGTACACGTATGTAATAAAAATCTATACATGTTTTCATTGTCTCACACTAACACAAAAGTGACAGCTGTGTATGTATGTGTGTTGATGTGTGGGTTTTGTTGACACAGACAGTACATCAGACAGACATGTCTTGGATCTGTCATCTGCCAGGTATATAGGTTTATTGTATTGAGGGACACATACACATGTTTTGATTTTGTTAAGTTGCAATGAAATTAAATCACTTGTATTATAAATACATGAAGCTGCAATTATCAGAACTTCATACAAAATTGATTTGTGCAATACAAAAAATAACTGTCGAAACACAAACACATGTATGTTTATAAAATACCTGTGTATTTATTTCTTGCATGCGTTGGTACAGGTGTGTCACCCATTGTACAGGTATGAATGGCTGTATATACCAGTCAGTAGAGTGTAATGGATACATGTTCCGCGGAATTAGTCATCCTCAGTGTTGATCCATATTTCAGTGAGTGGGCCGAGTCCCAATGCATTACACATTCTAGAGAATATGTGATAGAGATCAGTTGCTCACTAGGTCTCAAGGAAGTCTAACCTGTGTTTGGTCATTCTCAGACATTTACATATATATACAGTGTTCACAATCATGGGACTTAATAAGAACATGAACCAACCAAAATCAGGAAGAGTAAGTATATTATTGTAACTTACAATCTGTACTGTTTTGGATGGATCTACCAAAAGTACTTGAGTACCTCTAGGTAATCAATATATGTATACATATGTTGGCTGTTGTACTTGGAGGAAGTTTTCTCCTAACTGTGTCAGTTTGTGTATTGCTGTGTAAGTACCTGAGATGGGTAAGGTACTTCATGGAATTGTCACTTTTATGAACATGGATTTATTTTTAAATACACAATAAACACCATTTCCAAAATATTAATGTATACAGTGACTCCTGGATTTTCAAATATTATATACAGTATTTTCAATTTGAATGATGTAGGTGTATACTTATATATGGCCAAATACAGAGTGCCACTTTTGAACTATCTATGTGTGATGTTACCTATTTTTAATATGTTTAAACATGAATGGATTTCTTTTATAACAAAAATTGTTATCTACAAATATGGCTTGCCTTATATTTTCAATTATGATTTTAAAAATGTCTGTAATTATTGTATATATACACACAGCAGTTATACTTACATACATGTCTCTATTATTCAGGTCACTGTGAATACTAGTCAGGTATATATATTATCTGGTTGTTAAAACCTACTTTACTCCCATCTTTTTTAGACAGAATCACATAACTTTACGTATATTTTGGTCTGTGCTTTCCCAGTCCATCTATCAGGATAATCCTACGTCTCCTGAGGGTATTATTCATAAACATGCATTTTTAAGAATGGCTATGAGTTACAAAGCACAGCAGACTTGTCAAATGATAAAAAAACATTTCACAAACAAATGCTAGACAAAACTGTCAAAAAAGGACACCTGATACATATCACAAGATGGATTTATGTAAAATATTCCTCTACAGCTAAACCTAGAAATTAAAAGAAGCTTTAAACATAAAGTATATATTGATCAAATTACTGAACAAATCTCATCACCCCCAACCCCAACCTCTGTATTGGCTGTTAGGTTTCTAAGGTCCAGTTTGGTCAGTGAACAAAAAAAACGCCAGTCGAAGTGTTAACCTTTGGCCATAACTGATACGGCGTGGTGCCTTTTAGAATGAGTTTGATACAAGTATCATCAATAATTCAAGTCCTTGAAAGCCATGTTCCCTGGTGATATCCATGTACCTTTATTGCTGTATATACTTTGTAAAACAAAAGACTAGAGTTTAACTTAAAAATTTACAGGCACTGTACCAGCGCAGACCCATTTCGTCTGAGAATATTTATCAGTTTGTAATTTTCAGTGAGTTTTTAAAATTTCAACAATATATTTTTGTACCAGTACATATGTTTATCCATGTACTGGCCCATCCTCTGGATTATTGAATGAAGTGTTTACGTTGCACCCAGTCACAGCCAGTCAACACAATCATCAAGTTACATGTACACGTATAATGCATTACAAAGTGCTAAGTAGTGAAAAATGATAGGGTGTTGTAAATGGTACACATGTTAATATAATGAGATAGAAGATATGAAACTATAGCTTGATTAAACAAAGTGGTATACTATGAATTTGGATTATAAATGCAGTTAATATGCATTAAAGTATATGATGTGGTATTGTAAATTACAAGCTTTAAGTTAGAAAACAAATTAGTGATTGATATAAGTCTTGTTGTTAATAGTTGAAGGAAAAAAGGACAAGTCTGTTGATACTCTCTGAACTTCTGACCTTTAAGATATGGTCAACAACATTGACCATCTTAATGACATCTTGATATCCGATCTTTTGCCATTGACCTTGATTCTGGCAAAATTGTATCGTATTCCGTTCTTGTTTTCATATAGACTTGTAGCAATAAGGAAAACATCATTTTAAAATCCAAATCTTCCCTGACCTCTGACCTTGGTTGATTAAAATCAGTGATGACTCTTGAACACCTGTAGCTGTATATTTCCTGTTTTACTTTTAAAGTCACTTTCAATTCAATTAAGAAAACAAATCTGCCCACTAATAGAGCATTGAATTTCTATTCTATAGTTATGACTAACCTTGAATAAGGTGTTTGAATAATATATGTTTATGACTTAAATGTTAATTCAATCATTTCATGTACCCTGATATGTACAATACAATTCAAATGAAATTACTTACAGTTGGAGTTCTAGATGTGCATTGACAGCTTGTACGATATACTCTGCAAGCAGTTTAATTCAGGCCTTTAAATTCTACAAACTGTTCAGATTCACTGACTTTTTCTCGCCGGCTAAACTAATTCCAGCTTTTGGCAGAAGAGATCCAACAGGAGAAAAATGACTCTCTGAAATAATCAAATCAGGGAAAAGTTACCCGCAATGCTGGGTGTGTATTGAACACCGTTGTGGAAAAAAGTAGGTTTCATGCAAGCATGTATTAAAATACCATTTTTTCATGCTTACATGTAAATTCAAGGAGTGAGATTTTTTTCCATTCAGACTAAGACATATTTTTAGATGTCTGGTAGTTATCCCAATACTGATCAGGATCATGTTCTAGCTGGATGGTTTGGGACTCTTTGAGCTTGCAGTATTGCATGTGAATGAGAACAGAGTGCTGTTTGTATGAAAAGCAGAAACATGATGTTGTAGAAATCAGTATCAGGGAGTGTTTTGTACGTCTCTATATGATGTACAATGCAGATGGCTATGTCATTGTCAGCGGTACATATAAAAGGGTATTTGAAATGGATTGTGATGGGTAGTTGGTGAAGGAGATTTTGACCACTTGTTAACAGTGGACCTATTGAGAAATCAATGCATTTATTAAAGGGTTTTTAGGGGTTGATGATGGGCCCATTCCATATTGAAATTTCATATTTATGTCAAATTCCCAAAATTTGCAATAAACTCCAGAAAATTTTACCAGTTCACTTATTTTCTTCCCAAAATGAAAGAAGAATGCCACTCTCCCAATTTAGTGAAAAATAGCCCTGGGAGAAGTATGATGTCATAGAAAGTTATGATGTATACATTTACTGTCAGTGTAACAAGGTAACAAATATAAGGCAATAGAATACATATCTTCCTGTTTTTACTTTCATCGGAAGCCAGTTGTGGTACATATCAAAACATGTGCTGGTATGGAGTCTGTTGTTTATCATTTACTGTAGTCTAGACAGTTAGCAGGTCGGATGTATTGTTTTATTTAATTTTAACAGCAGTTTACGTGTAACTCCACATGTATGTAAACATTTTTGGAGATAAGTACAATGAGAATAGTTACCTTGTACAGAACTGATCAGTTTTGCATTCCATAAGTGGTTTTTCCATACAAAACTAAATGAAAACAGGAGATTTTTGCTCCAAGTTTTTGATAAAACTGAAAAAAGATTGAAAAACAATCAATGCAGCATACATACATAAGGTCTGGAATTCAAAATGTAATATTTGATCTCTCACCTATGTTTGATTCATGATCCTGAATTGTTCACTAAAACAGAATATAAGGAGTAAAACCCCATGCATGATAACGATCATGGTGTCTCGCTGTGACAGTGGATTCTGAATGGAGAATTATGAGAATAGTTCCACAGTTTGTCATCATCTAATTCTCAAATTTTGTACTTTATCAGGTCACGATGGAGTCTATAAAGAGGAGACTCAGTTTTCGGAAAAAGAAACCACATGTTCCAGAATGTTCAAAACCTCACCAATGGCAGGAAGATGAAAAGAAGGTGCGCGATGGCACATGCAGCTTTCAAGTTAGGGTAAGTATTGATGTGATAGTCATGCCACATGTAGAGTACCTGATTCATTCTCAAAAGCCTCACAGAATTTGTTTTTCAGAATGATTTGTTTGTTTTTCGTTACTGTAAAATCTTAAATTTTCCTGGGTTTTTATTGTTTCATGAGTACTTTTAATCCACAAACTGTCAAAATTGATTTAAATAAAAGCTGAAGAAGCATTCAGATAATTTAAAATAAAAGTTGAAAAATTTTCACTTTCATATTATTACAAATGAGGATATTAAATGGTGACAATAAACATCCGATGAATGAAAAACTCTTCTGCAGTAGTTTAATTGTCTTTCTAAAATAAACACTTTTCCATATTAGTAGTCATCAAGGTTGTTGTAGGGAGATAAAGATATAGATCGTTTCTGAGGAATCAGCTGATCCCCATGGGGCTGACTTGGGCAGAACAATCAGATCTATAGTGGAAGATAACATCTCATATATGAAAGTTTCCTGTTCATGGGGAGTGAAAGGTCAGCCTAAATGATCCTTTTATCTGACGAGGAATAGACTTAGCAATCTGAAGAGCTAGCCCAGATCATGCTACCAATCCCCTACCCTCCCACAAGCGCTCACGAATCCTAGGACATGGTCAAACCTGGCATGCTGACTGAGACCCAGGACATGGTCCTATCTAAAATGCTGACCTAAACTCAGTTAAGGCTGCACCCCTTACAAAGCTGACCAAAACCCAGGACGTAGTCCAGTCTAAAATGCTGACCTAAACTTAGATAAGGGTGCACCCCTTACAAAGCTGACCAAAACCCAGGACGTGGTCCAATCTAAAATGCTTACCTAAACTCAGTTAAGGGTGTACCCCTTACAACATTGACCAAAACCCAGGACGTGGTCCAATCTAAAATGCTGACCTAAACTCAGATAAGGGTGTACCCCTTACAACATTGACCAAAACCCAGGACGTGGTCCAATCTAAAATGTTGACCTAAACTCAGTTAAGGCTGCACCCTAACAATACTAACCCAAGCCCAAGACATGGCCCACCCTCATTACATGATCATGAAAACCCAGGACATGGTTCAACCTAATTACATACAGATCTAATATGGCTGGGCATGGTTTAATGTTGAGTATACAATTTAATGCGAAGGCATGGCCGAAACACCTTAAGAAAAGGATTCTGGGCCTTGCTTGGTCCATGACACAGAGACCTAAGCATCCCTAACCAAGGTTTTATTCCTGGTTGGGGTCCACAGTAAGATAACAAATTTTGAATGACAGTCTTGGCTTGTGAAGTAGACCCTATTTGAGCATAGCCTTTCTCATTAACTCTCAGCTCTTCATTAAAAGTTACATTTCACAGTCTCATGACTTGGTAAAAAGAGAAATATTTTCCAAAGATGAGAACATTTAGTGAAAATAATGACATGCAATTCAAGTAGTTACTTGCTTTGAAAGGTCATGAAATGCATTTTTGGTTTGCTGTATTGTGTTGAATTCCACAATTCCAATATAAATGCCAGCATTATTCCCAAGTCTTGTTTTTCTTCCATTTAAAAAGTCTCGTCCAAAATTTTGTTATTGGTTGGAGACTAATACCCCTATCACCAGAAGTGTTCATATGTGTAATGAGCTTGTGATTTTATGTTTGAAGTGATGAAATGAATTCATTACCATTTACCATGGTTCAGTTTTTAGGAAATTAGTAAACATCAGCCTAATTTCATTGGTGTGAAAGCATATGTTATTGTTGGTGTAGATCAGAAAGAACCTACTGTTAGAGCCTGTGATGTGGTGCTGACACAGCAGGCATGGTGGTACACATGTTCAGATCCCATACAAAATAATCCTGGCTCCAATATCATCTCATTAAGAATGGATGATCATGATGATTTAGGCCGTTCAGCAGTTAATGGTATTCTGTGGTGAATTTGTCAGCCATTTAGGTCATATATCAGGTATAGATTGGAATAGCATATATTTCACCAGATATGTATGTCAAAAGTATAGATTTTTTTGTTGTATATCCCTAAATCATACTCAGTCATGTTGGCACACTGTATATGAATATTTCCTTGTTGATGTGTGTGTTATAACTGATGTTACCAATACTAAATTCTTAAATGAAATTAAGTGTGTTTCTTGGAGCTCTGTGAGGCTAAATATGAGTTCCAATCTCAATTGATTGCCAAATTTCTAAAATATATAGTTTACGTCTAAAATTTTCTTTCTGACTTATCATTTTCCCTCGATCTTTGTGACTGATAATTTTTCTCTAAATGAGATCAAATGGCCCCTTCCCAAATAGTGGGAAAACCCAGACTTTTTCCCCTTATGCATTTTGGGATGGTTTATTATAGAGACATTTTACGTACTTTGCTATTTCGGAGCCTCAGTCCGATTGTCAGTATATATAGAGATATGAGCCATCAGTATATTGAGATATGAATGAAGGAATCACACGTTAGTCGTCTCTGATGTCAGTATATAGAGATATGAATGAAGGAATCACATGTTAGTCGTCTCTGACGTCGGTGTATATAGAGATATGAGTTTAAGAAATCACATGTTAGTCGTCTCTGACGTCATTGTATATAGAGATATGAATTGAAGAAATCACATGTTAGTCGTCTCTGACGTCAGTAAATAGAGATATGAATGAAGAAATCACATGTTAGTCGTCACTGACGTCGGTGTATATAGAGATATGAATTTAAGAAATCACATGTTAGTCATCACTGACATTTTGATGAAGCCTTAATTTTGGGATGTTAATGTTTTGCCCTTTCTTATTTCATATTCTTGCCATGACTTGTTATTAGTAAATGTCTGACACCTCCGAACTAACCTGAACAACTTTTAAATACAAAATTCATAGAGAATGTGTATTGACTGTTGCGTCATTGTACATGAATTTTAAGATTTCTGTATTTATCTGGCAATAACCCCACGCATGGTGATAAGCCTACTCATATCTATTACTATTACAGTTATTCAGCATCATGTATTAAGTAAGTCTGGAGGAAATGGTTTGACATACCGGCTTATTGCTTGGTGTAATTGACACCTTCAAATGATATTTTTCTGCCAGCGATTGATCCTAATCTGCTGGAAATGATGCAGCAAAACCATCTCTTAATATTCATGTAGAAATTCCTGATAGCTGTAGATAACTATAACATTGTCAATGTCACTAGGTGATAGCTTCATGTGAACATAAAATCATGGCGTACCAGTGTTGATGGTATAGCTGGGAATAGTGTCTCATTATGAGTGATTCAAGGAGACAATCAGAAGTGCTTGTAATCAACTTCCTGTAGATTGTTCTTGCAGTCTTTGCCTTTAACTTAATATAACAAAGACAATCGTTTCTCCTTCCTATCATCATGTTCGATAATGTTATTGTCTTTGTTTGCATTACACTGTTGTATGGTCCATATTTACATATTTATAAGCAATAAAGAACAAAACAGGCTGAGGTTCACCCAGAAGTATGATTAGATGAAATGTTGGAAAGAATTCACTCTCTAGAATTATTCATTTTGGACTTGCAGCATTGTATTTTGTTATCTGTGTTCGTTATGATGTACATGTTTAACTTTATATAAATTTGTATGAAGTATATTTTTTAAAAAAATCATCCAGTATTTTATGATTGACAATAATGACAATGGTTGAGTAGACTGCATATTTTATTAGCTTTATTTATTTTGATGTAAATGCACAACTGTCTGTTTACATTTGTTGAATGGCGCAGTCAAATATTTCTTGAAATCTTTAAATTTTGACAAGTTTTTATCAGTAATTATCTTTTGCTGGCGGTGTTGTGCTGGCAGTCTTATTTGTATGATTGACATTAATTACAGCATAAATGTCGTTTTTCCAAAACTTACATTGGTTGTTCTGCATTAATATTAACTTATTATTTCATACATGCAATCTTGTTCATGACCGAGTGTGATTTGTACATGAGTGGAGTTGTGTGGTGTTTAGCAGTGCTGTGATCTATGTATATAACGGTTTCTACTTTTCTATTTCAGTACCTAGGTTGCCTTGAAGTGTTTGAGTCACGTGGAATGCAAGTATGCGAAGAGGCTGTGAAAACATTAAAATCAGTGAGTACATCATCAATCTACAGGTCTCGGTTGTATGTGAACACACTGGTAATGACAACCTAATAGTTCTGAAAATCATAACAGCCTAATAGTTTTAAAGATAAGAACGTCATGTTTCTAGTTTTGAAGGTCATGGCATTCCTATTAGTTATGAAGGTCACACTGATCTTGTGTTATTTATGTTATCAAACTCTGCAGAAGTATGGTATGAAATTAAAAACATTTGAAATTGAAATTATGATATCACCTGTGGAATGGGAAAATTGTTCCAAACCAGTAACAACACCTGGGGAAATACCAAACATATAACAACACCTGAGGAAATACCAAACATATAACAACACCTGGGGAAATACCAAACATGTAACAACACCTGGGGAAATACCAAACATATAACAACACCTGGGGAAATACCAAACATATAACAACACCTGGGGAAATACCAAACATATAACAACACCTGGGGAAATACCAAACATGTAACAACACCTGGGGAAATACCAAACATATAACAACACCTGAGGAAATACCAAACATGTAACAACACCTGGGGAAATACCAAACATATAACAACACCTGAGGAAATACCAAACATGTAACAACACCTGAGGAAATACCAAACATATAACAACACCTGAGGAAATACCAAACATGTAACAACACCTGGGGAAATACCAGACATGTAACAACACCTGAGGAAATACCAAACATGTAACAACACCTGATTCAGAGGGAACTTCTGATGAAATGCGATTTCAGAACACATGGTTATTCCCACCCACTCTGACATAACTAGCTCCAACATCAGTTTTATGTTTTGTATTTATAGTGGTAGGATCATATAGTAATTTTTGTTAATGGTTGAAATTAATCATGTAAACGCAAGTCAATTCATGTAAAAGTGACATGTCATAAAACCTGTTTCATTTTCAACCACAAGAGCCCTAAAGTGTGTCATTAATTGGACGTATAGATAACAAAACAGTAAAATTACGTGGATACATTGCTTCTAGCGAAAATAATGTTATTTACCATTTCCTGCAGCAAAGTCCTTTCTAGTGAAATTTTAAGAAATGTTAATTATATTACTATTTATCTGAATTCTAAACCACTACACTGACCAATTAAAACCCTTTTGAATGATTTAAATATTTAAATTGGCAATAAAAACCATAATGATAGGGGAATTAAAAAGGGGAAAAAAAATCAGTATGTTTAAAAATAATATATTTAATGTCCTTGAAGTAAAGATATGCTGTAGTGCTGACAGAGCAATTGAGAATTCTACCATATGTCATACCACCAACACACAAATAATGTTCTGCCATAATGATAAAAGATGTACATAAGAGGTGTCTTTGATTGAGGAAAGCCAGTAACCGAGCAGTCAGGACAAAGTGAAAATGGATAGAAAACGTGGCTAGGAGATAATTTTTTATGATTTTTTTTAACATTTTCGGGAAAACATAATAACAGAATTATCATGAAGTATGGTGAAAAATCCTTTTGAATATTTACAAGAAATGAATAGGAAAAATAAATTTGCTAAATTGTTAGATTTTTCATCTGATCAAAATTTGGGAGTTTAATATGTCCAGTTTGAAAAAGTCATTTACCTGATATCACAAACAATAAAAATTTATTGATATTTCATCATATATCATAATATGGTATCAGAATGATACTGAAAAGTGAGTTGACTGTATTACAAAAAAGTAGATTGGAATATCAAAACATTACAAAACACTGAGTTATTGAATGATGTTACCATCCATTTTTCAGGCCACAATTATATATATGGAGCAGTATGGCAAGAATTTGATAAGGGTCAGTTGTGATGACTGTGTCTCGATATTCTGTCTTAATCTGATATTAATTTTTGCTGCTTTACATTGAAGCCTATCACATCTGACTTCCTGTTTGTTCTGAGCAGTCAACATAAGTCAGATTTGATTTGTTTCTCAGTGTTTGCTGCTCTGTGGTCTTTAGGTATAGCATAAATTCCAGCAAGGGCAATATAAGGAAAATGACAGATTTCATTTGCAAAAACTCTTTTTCAAGTTATCCTATATTCTTTGATCTTAAACATATCTGAAGTATTTTACTCCCTCTGCAAGATTTTCCGATATAGATTTCATCAAAAGGTATTCTTACAAATTTTCTAATACACTAGGAATATTAATATTTTCTGTGATGAATGTTTTTCTTCAATAGTTCTGAATATTTAGTATATTCCTCATGGTGATAATTTTAAGTTATGATACAAATATTGTCTGGAGATGTTCTTATAAATCATGTTACTCCATTGCCGTACCAATCATCCTTATTGGAGCAAAATCGCTTAAAATGGGAAAAAAAAGGATTGATTTTCACATGTAGTGGTGTTGTAGTTATTGCTAAGCTGAATAGATTTGTATTCCTAACTGTTTTGGTTCAGTATTTTCCTTGTCATGTTGCAGTCATCACATTGAATAACAAACTCTTCACTTGTCACCTTACACAAAGATAACAAGATCAAGGCTTCTGCCTTTGGTATTGGTACACCATGTTTCATTAAATCTTGTCCGTGGCATTTGAATCCAGATACATGTCGAGGTGCCTAGACCGAGCCGTACATGTAGTTATTAGGGATGGTTGTGGCAGTCTTTGAGATTGTAGATTGTCATTATTTTAGGATTGTAGAATTTCTCTGGTTATTGTGATGTGGTAGAATTAGAAGATTATGAAACAGTTACTAAGGTGACAAATCTGGTGATTGTGATGTGGTAGAATTGGAGGATTATGATACAGTTACTAAGGTGACAAATCTGGTGATTGTGATGTGGTAGAATTAGAAGATTATAAAACAGTTACTAAGGTGACAAATCTGGTGATTGTGATATGGTAGAATTAGAAGATTATGAAACAGTTACTAAGGTGACTAATCTAGTGATTGTGATATGGTAGAATTAGAAGATTATGAAACAGTTACTAAGGTGACAAATCTGGTGACTGATGTGGTAGAATTAGAAGATTATGAAACAGTTACTAAGGTGACAAATCTGGTGACTGATGTGGTAGAATTAGAAGATTATGAAACAGTTACTAAGGTGACTAATCTAGTGATTGTGATATGGTAGAATTAGAGGATTATGATACAGTTACTAAGGTGACAAATCTGGTGACTGATGTGGTAGAATTAGAGGATTATGAAACAGTTACTAAGGTGACAAATCTGGTGATTGTGATGTGGTAGAATTAGAGGATTATGAAACAGTTACTAAGGTGACAAATCTGGTGATTGTGATGTGGTAGAATTAGAGGATTATGAAACAGTTACTAAGGTGACAAATCTGGTGATTGTGATGTGGTAGAATTAGAGGATTATGAAACAGTTACTAAGGTGACAAATCTGTGATTTTGATTGTAGAATGATTATGATACAGTACTAAGGTGACAAAATTTGATATGGTAGAATTAAAGATTATGATACAGTTACTAAGGTGACAAATCTGGTGATTGTGATATGGTAGAATTAGAGGATTATGATACAGTTACTAAGGTGACAAATCTGGTGATTGTGATATGGTAGAATTAGAAGATTATAAAACAGTTACTAAGGTGACAAATCTGGTGACTGATAATCCTATGAAACAGTTACTAATGACAAATATTGTGATGTGGTAGAATTAGAAGATTATAAAACAGTTACTAAGGTGACAAATCTGGTGATTGTGATGTGGTAGAATTAGAGGATTATGATACAGTTACTAAGGTGACAAATCTGGTGATTGTGATATGGTAGAATTAGAAGATTATGATACAGTTACTAAGGTGACAAATCTGGTGATTGTGATATGGTAGAATTAGAGGATTATGATACAGTTACTAAGGTGACAAATCTGGTGATTGTGATATGGTAGAATTAGAAGATTATAAAACAGTTACTAAGGTGACAAATCTGGTGACTGATGTGGTAGAATTAGAAGATTATGATACAGTTACTAAGGTGACAAATCTGGTGGTTGTGATGTGGTAGAATTAGAAGATTATAAAACAGTTACTAAGGTGACAAATCTGGTGACTGATGTGGTAGAATTAGAAGATTATGAAACAGTTACTAAGGTGACAAATCTGGTGATTGTGATGTGGTAGAATTAGAGGATTATGATACAGTTACTAAGGTGACAAATCTGGTGATTGTGATATGGTAGAATTAGAGGATTATGAAACAGTTACTAAGGTGACAAATCTGGTGATTGTGATGTGGTAGAATTAGAGGATTATGATACAGTTACTAAGGTGACAAATCTGGTGATTGTGATGTGGTAGAATTAGAAGATTATGAAACAGTTACTAAGGTGACAAATCTGGTGACTGTGATGTGGTAGAATTAGAAGATTATGAAACAGTTACTAAGGTGACAAATCTGGTGATTGTGATATGGTAGAATTAGAGGATTATGATACAGTTACTTCAGTCACAACTGTTGTTGGAGATGGCACAGTCATTGGAAATTATTGATGAAAATATTAAGTAAGATAAAAACAGTCCCTACTGTTATGGTAGATTCATTGGCCTGGGATAATCCTGTAATATAGTTATTGCTATGGTGACCATAATCCATAGGTTTAGGTGTGGGTGATCTTTAGAAATCTGCGAAGGTGTAGGAGTTATCAATGAAAATTAAATGAGTTCCAAAGATTTCCAAAGCACCTCATTACCAGTTGTACTGAGATCAGCAATATTATATTACTGTATTGAAATGTTACCTAATCCTTAGAGACTGTGAATGCAGTAAAAGTCGCAGCAATATGTGTAGGCTAAAACCGTTTTATGTTTTCAGCTTGGCAGTCTTTTTCATTGAAGATCAATATACTGTTGAGTATGTCTCTCCAAAGCGTATTTATATATAGAGATGAAATCAAGCTGTATCTTCGTTTGATCTGTCGATGAACTACTCTCCTTTTATAAATTGCTACAGATGACAATAGATTTCTTTCTTGCATATGCATTTAAAATTTAAGCACTGCAAAACAATAAAGTGCAATCTTGTTTTTTTTCTGAAAATAGAATTTCTTTCATAAATGTTCTTAATATTAGATAGTTTCAATTAAATGATGTTGATAATCTGTTTATTTGAACTTGAATGACATGGTATATTACACAATACATATTACTGTATGTATTCAATAAATACTGATAACGGTCCACATACAAACATATACTGTTTCATTGTCCTTGTAACAGTTTCAACCTCCTGATGTGTTGTATCAGCCTCGTTAGCGTATGGGAGGATGAACATTCTGTGTGAAATACATCCTGATGCTTATGATAAAATTTTCTTTTGGACCAGAAAATCTAACAGGATGTAGTAGACTCTTTAAGTCTACTTTTATCCATAAATCTATAGAATGATTAGTCTTAATCCCTGCGTAGGAATAACTGATAACAAAATAAAGATATAATACTATGTTACAAGTTTGTACAATTGCCAGTTATACGCGTTACATGTATCAGATGATTTGAAATCACAAAAACATCACTTCTTTTTAAAAAAAAACCCTCACAAACCTGTTAGAGTCTACATTTTCTTTCATTTATCAAATATAAATTTTCATAAATATATGTACGTGCTTTAGTTATATAGCCTGCGTCTAAAAGAAGAACTTTCTATAGATATACTACATAAACACTGATGACTTGAGAACACCCACTTAACTAGATTGATGTTATAAAATTCGAGAGGAATCTCTTTTAAAACAGTTTGTACTGATATGCTTTTACATGTCTGTGAGAAACACCATGTCTTCTGCAACCCATTAATGAAAATACAATTTGGCAGTTAAATGCAAATGCAGGCAACATACAGGAACAATGATTTGATTAGGTTCTGACAGAAAGCAGTAGGGAGTATCCTGCTATTACACCCAAAATGTTTTAACCCAGTTATTAGAAACAGAGATTTGGGTCTAGTAGAACAATACATATTCCGTCAGTCTCCGAAGTATTTGATTATTCTTCTATTGTTTATTTTTTATCGACTGATTAAATTTCACCCGAGCAGACATGCAATAGAAATATATGGCAATACACATGCTATGTAAAATGTTGAGCACTGGGTCTCCATCGAGAATTATCATGACTCTAATACCAAGTGATATTGATGTAAACTTTCGTTTGCATCCTATCTATACATATGTAGCCCTGAGTACATTTGCATAATCCAGAGAAATTTTTTTTGAAGATATGCATGATTTTTCCGACAATTTCAGGGTAAAGCAAACAAAAACAAAACGAATCGTTGTTTTCCTTTCTTCTCAGCAGCAATTAAGTAAAACTGACCAAATTATTATAGTGTTTACTTCAGTGACAATACATGATATACAATTTCCTTGTGTATTGTTGTCTATTGATATCATGATATTGTACAAGGTATATCTTTGGTTATTGTCTGCCCTGTTGGTGATGTTTCATTTTCAATCAACTTGCGGTGCGATTTTATGATCAAGTTTTAATGACCCAAGTTAACCTTGAGTGATTTTCTACTGTACATTGTATTTTTTCATTATGGGCTCCATCGTGATTGATCATGATCATCAGCGACTTTGTAAACCATTCTTCATTTTCAATCAACTTGTTTTACTAGTCAGTATGGTTTTATTACCAACAATCTTTGTTGACCAAAATCACTCTTGTTCGATTTTAACCACACTTCATCGTGAGGGTTTTTTCTTCATGATTTTAAGCAAATCCTGTTTTACCAATCTCATGTTAGGTTAGGTAAAGTCAACGTTTACTGATCTTATATAAAGCAAAATCTATTTCTAATTATTTTCTAAAGCAAAATTGGTTTTTACTAATTATATGTAAGGTAAAATCGGTTTTTACTGATCTTGGATAAGGTAAAATCGGTTTTTACTGATCTTGGATAAGGTAAAATCGGTTTTTACTGATCTTGGATAAGGTAAAATCGGTTGGATAAGGTAAAATCGGTTTTTACTGATCTTGGATAAGGTAAAATAAGGATAAAATCGGTTTTTTGATCTTGGATAAGGTAAAATCGGTTTTTACTGATCTTGGATAAGGTAAAATCGGTTTTTCGGATCTTGGATAAGGTAAAATCGGTTTTTACTGATCTTGGATAAGGTAAAATCGGTTTTTACTGATCTTGGATAAGGTAAAATCGTTTTTTACTGATCTTGGATAAGGTAAAATCGGTTTTTATCTTGGATAAGGTAAAATCGGTTTTTACTGATCTTGGATAAGGTAAAATCGGTTTTTACTGATCTTGGATAAGGTAAAATCGGTTTTTACTGATCTTGGATAAGGTAAAATCGGTTTTTACTGATCTTGGATAAGGTAAAATCGGTTTTTACTGATCTTGGATAAGGTAAAATCGGTTTTTACGGATCTTGGATAAGGTAAAATCGGTTTTTACTGATCTTGGATAAGGTAAAATCGGTTTTTGATCTTGGATAAGGTAAAATCGGTTTTTACTGATCTTGGATAAGGTAAAATCGGTTTTTACTGATCTTGGATAAGGTAAAATCATTTTTTACTTATCTTATGTAACGCAAAATAGATTTTGTTTGTTTTCTTACATGATAAACAGCTCATTGTTATTTGTGTACCTGTATGTTATTGACCTTTTGTTTTTACAGCAATGTCGAGGGAAGTATCAGCGCGCTATCCTCTATGTTTCTGGTGATGCTCTTAGAGTAGTGGACGAGATCAGCAAGGTAGGTATTCATGTCAAAGCTCCAAGTCTACAACAAATTTGTATAAGAGAACTTGAAAGATAGACTTTCGATTCGAGAATATATCTTTCCATGAACTCTGAAATCTTTTTGTAGCATAATCAGACCATATTGTTGAAGATAGTTTGAGAACAGTTGTCTGAATTTTAGTTTATTTACCACAGGGTGATGTTACTGAAGTGTTAAGCTTCAAGGTTACCTATATCTTAGGTGTTAGGCTACAGACACTAATTATACAGGAACACAAAGGAAACACCTCCTTGCTGTCTTTTTTCTTGAGAGTGAAATTTAGCCTTGACAAGCATCGACAGTATAATATCAAAGGTCATTGCATTGTGTTGCGTCAATATTGTCACTAATTTCCATGTAAGAGACAAGGAAAGCTTATTTAGACAGATTTTGTTAAGTTTTAGATTTTTATTTGGAATCTAAAAAAAAAGTCCAGTAACTGTTCGTGAATATTGAATAGCACGTAGTCTTTTTACACGTAAACCTGGCTAAGTTTGAATTTATTTTTAAACCTACTAGGCACATACCAATTCTAATAAAGATTATGATAGTAATACTTGATATCATCAACACAATATAAAGTACCTCCTATAGAGTGAACGGTAGGGGCTCTGTAAACCAAAACCACAACTTGTTTTTGAAGAATTTATCCATAATTTTCTACTTAAAAGTGCTGGAAGTATTGCCTCTGTTTGTATGCCTTGTCATGTATTATGTATAGAGTGTTTGCAATTTATCTTGGTCCATATTAGTACAGGATTATGTACTTGTATGTCAAATCTTTGTCACAGTAAACTTCATCTTCTCCTACATTCTTGTCATTTAATTTCATTTCTTTGGTTAGACTTCACATTTATGATAGGCAAAAGTCATGCTCTTGACAAGTGCTGTTCACTTCATAGTGGTTTTTGTTTTCACATGGAGCAAAATGTACAATTGTCATATGTTATTTATTTGTAAATATCAGAATAAAAAATCACTGCTTTTGAGTTGCATACAAGGCTAAAATTTTATATCAGAAATGAAAAGAAAAGGAAATTAATCCTATTTAATTGTAACAGAAGAAAAGAAAATGTGACAGCTTCTTATCAATCTGAACCTAGGACCTATAGGACTTGATGTTCATTGGAATATGAACCAGTCCATTTCCACTAAAGAAAGATGTTCTTGACATCACAGAAAGCATAATCATTGCTTGCCCATTTTGATCTATGTGTTACAATCCAAACCCATCTAGTGTTGCATCTTGCTTGTTCTGTTTGAGGATTTTGCAGGCCTGGCTGTGAATTGGTATTATAGATATTACACTTGGATCAATAGTGCTCTTCAATCATTGTCGCCCAATTACAAAGGTTTCTTATCAGTCTAGGTACGGTAAGAATCTATAGGATTTGTTCTCACAATGATTGTTTTGGAATTAGTGTTAAGTTCTTCATGGAATCAGTTATCTGAAATATTAATTGAGTATGTGGGGATCCATCCAAAATATTAAATACCCAGGGTAAGTTTGATGGGATTCATACGAAATAATAATTGAGTATTTGGGGATCCATCCAAAATATTAAATAAGTTTGATGGGATTCATACGAAGTAATAATTGAGTATTTGGGGATCCATCCAAAATATTAAATAAATTTGATGGGATTCATACGAAATATTAATTGAGTATGTGGGGATCCATCCGAAATATGAATCCAGGCATGCCTGCTGCCATTCTGCAGCCCTTGACAGTTGACAACAGGCTGTCATGGTCAATATGAAATGCAATTTTTTATCAGATAGACAATGACACTATCAAATCTTACTCAGTGTTTAGTCTGAAACACCAGTTACAATGTTACGTATGACACTTATACTGATATCAATGATGACGTCAACAGTTTTATGATTCTCTTCATAGCTGATATTAATGCCGTATGATTAGGTATCGACAAGGTCATACAGAGATATATTAAGACAGGAACCTTGCTGTGTTGGTGCCTTTGTCAGTATCTGGAATAATTCTTATTTCATCACGAAACGGCTATTTTGAGTTTGTTTTTCACAAATATATTAATGTATGACAACTTCTTTACGAGTTCTACCTCACTCAGGTTCAAAACATAAAAGTGATTTGAAAAAATAAAAAAAAGTCCAGATATAGGTTCTAAGCCGAAAAGACGAAATGAGCATTGTCATTGAATTTAAAACTCAGAATTTGCTGACATCCTCACCCACTGGTCAACTGTGTGGTTCTAGGTGTCACATTATTATTCAACTGTTTGCATATTCATTTAATCAATATTTTATGATGAATTTCCCAGTGCTGTGCAAAGGCTAGGCATAGCTTATTCAGTTTCATTAACAGGTGATCTCATACTGATTAGCATCTATATTTAGTCTGACCAGGTAAATCGTTAACTTGGCTAACAGCACATTTATTTCATGGCATCAGCTGTTGGTGCTTTGATCAGGTAGCCAACTGTATGAGCAGGATGAAGCTGTGTAATTTTTAGGATAGGTTAATGCTGTCGGGCACATTCTTAAAAAAATCAAGGACCCAAACTTCTAATTATAAAAAGTCCATTGTTCTATTAATTAACAATTAATGGAGTCATGGTAATGATTGTATTTTCTTATGATTTTATTGATTATTGTAACAACATGCTGGAAAGATTTGCTCATACCTTAGAATTGTACATTTATAACTTATCCAGGGGATGCTTTGAAAATATTTAGACTGAAGGAGGCTACTGAGGAATATCTTAATGACTACACTGATGGTGAAAAAGGTCAAAACCTAGATGGGGAGGTGCAATAGCTCCTTAATTCAATAAATTTTGTTATTTTCATATATATAGTAATTTAAGATGAATGTCAAGTTTTTGTGTATATTCTGAATGTTGCTACTATTCAAATGAAATAAGATGCAGCATGCAGGTTTAGGGATTTGTAGACTGCTGTTCAAATGGCTGTTGATTATGTATGAATTTATAGTTAGGTGTAACCTAATTCTCAAAAAGATTCTTAGAAAAACCACTGCCAGTATTACTTCTGTAGCATCTGTTTAACAGCAGGAAGTGAGAGGATAGGTCAGTTAAGGAACTGGCTGATAAAATAAAGTATCTCTGCCGAGATGTATTGAACATTGACTTATGTCATTACTGGAATTACACGGGTAGTTTATTAAATTCATGGTTGAAATCTGTAACAGTATCCTCTGTTACCAGAGTTATCCCTGGAATGGAATAACGATGTAAAGATCATGATTATATGTAGTATTGACACAGTTATTGCTAGCTGTGTCTAATTAATCAGTCAACATTAACTCGGAAGGCTTCTCGGATCAGGATTACATACATAACCAGCTGTATCTATCACTGGTTTAACTTGTGTAAACTGCGAGACTGCTCTGTTTGGATATCGATTGTCAATTCATCAGGGTATTCCACTGATGATACATGAGATTTGGTGGGTCAGTCAGGCTGCATTTGATCCACCTGTCCTTGGGTACTGACTGTCCTATCTCTAGAAGAAGTTCATTATGTAATGGTAAAAGAGGGACCTACAGGAACTGAGTATAGTAGATAGAGGTAGTTGGTTAACCATATCTTCTCTGGTTGGTACAGAGAGTCTTAACAGTGTTGGAGATATATAGCTGTTATTGAACCAGTCTGCATTACAATAAGTTACAAGTCCCAGCAAGTCTTGGGTCAGATAGAGAAGTAAAAAAGTGTTCGATGTCTGCCGTCATCATTAACCATTTATTGCCGTGTGTGGGATCATGGGTTTGATTATTCTTGCTGTGTTATATGTAGTTTTCTATAGGCAAAAGGGGTTTATTGTAAAAATACTTGGAACAAGTTCAAAGTATTTTATAGATATTGTCTTTTGCCTAAGGACACTACAGCTGTGTGATATATGATTCCAACCGGTGACCCCCATGACTTGGAGCCTGAAGCGCTGTGGAAGGAAGGCACACCAATTAAATAATGCAGGATCAGAAAAAATGACACTAACACAGTTCAGGAAAGTCCTGCCAGCAAAATAAACTTCATTACATAAACTTGAGTCAGCTTTAAAATTTTGTCTTTGAAACTGGCTTGTGTGAACACGGAAGTCTAAATAATGTTTGTTCAGATTGTCGTCATAGTTACAGAATTTATGGTATATGATATGTTTGATCAAAATCTTACACTGACAAATGTTTTCTTAAAAACTTAATCATGATCAGTTCCAAGAAAGTTTATATGCCCTATCAGCTAAATATGTTGTGAATTCCTTTATTCTCCACGGAATATTGTCACGCATGGATACTTTAACTGATATCTCTGCTTTAAATATCTTTTGGCCATGGAAATCAGGAATTTTTTCCAGATTTCTTTTAAACTTGTTGCAGTTTCCCTTGCAAAAATTTATTGCCAGCAGTCTTTTAGATGTATATTTGAGAAAATGTGACATTATGTTCTCCATTTTTTAAAACTTGTAGGCAAGATTGACAATTTTAATTGGTTGTTTAGGACCATCTGAAGGAGGTTTTAGTTATCATCGGGCAGATATTTCCAGTTGTTGTTATTTGAGAGTCTTTTCATTTGTAAATCAAAAAATTTTTCTCTTGTTTTCCTCTGCCATCATGATATACTATAATACGGGTCAGAATTTCAAGGCAAGTCTTGAAATTGTGTAATGAATGGGTGAACATCACAGACCACACACAATTTCAAATTGTGCATACTTTTGAAAATTGAAATAAATAAATGATGGCAGACATTTTAATTAGAGCTGTATCCAATAATACTTCGCTAACTTAGATAAGATATGAATGTTTGGTTTGTAGGGTTGGATGCTGAAATTGATTGTGAGTGAGATACATTGTCGTGAGATTGTTGGAAGAACCTATCCATATTCATTTCTAGTTCAGTAGAATTGCTACCTGGCTCTTGAAGTTGTAAATGCAACAGAATTGATGGTTCACATCCCTGGCCTGGTTTTGTACCAGGAGATTGGTCCCTGTACAAGTCAGTGCCACAGACGATTGATACTGATGTCTAGTTGAGGACAGCATGCCATTCTTCTGGTCATATAAGTACATGTTGCTCTGGTGTGACAAGGTCATGCAGCAGTCCTACCCTCATGAATGTCAAGTGGAATTGTAATGGTGCAGGCATTTGTTTTTGATTGTGAGATCAACCCACACGTAAAGGCTGTTGGACTTCTGCCATTTTTACCAATACAAGGAAAGGTTACTTTTAGAAGCAGATGAGATAGCATCTTTAACATGTGCTGCCATATGCATGTTAGAAGGCTGTGTTACTGGAATACAGATGACAACCTTAGCAATTTGTTTTTGCTGCAACACAATAAGGCGTAGATATGATGCCCATTGTTTAATCTTACATGGGTCTTGTATAATGTTTTCTTATGGATTCTTGTATATGAATCGCTCAGTCAATTGCTAAAACCTTAAAGTTCCGTGGCTTGACAATGTGAACACTTTGAAACCACAATGTCATTTCCTCTGCTGAACATTTTTATTAGACGTGAGACCCAAATACTGATTATATGTAGTAATGGTAATGTTAACGTAATTTTCGAGACCCCCACTCCTTCATTCTTTGCTCCACCTTGCACCTTCAACCATCGCCCCACTCAAAAACTTTCGTCCTTTGCCCCACACCTTCATCCATTGCCCTACACCCACATCTTTACCCATTGTCTCACCCATAGACCTTCAGTCATTGCCCTACACCCACACCTTTATCCATTGTCTCACCCATATACCTTCAGTCATCGCCCTACACCCACACCGTTACCCATTGTCTTACCCATATACCTTCAGTCATTGCCCTACACCCACATCTTTACCCGTTGTCTCACCCATATACCTTCATCCATTGCCCTACACCCACACCTTTACCCATTGTTTCACCCATATACCTTCAGTCATTGCCCTGCACCCACATCTTTACCCGTTGTCTCACCCATATACCTTCATCCATTGCCCTACACCCACACCTTTACCCATTGTTTCACCATATACCTTCATCCATTGCCCTACACCCACGTCTTTAGCCATTGTCTCACCCATATACCTTCAGTCATTGCCCTACACCCACACCTTTAGCCATTGTCTTACCCATATACCTTCAGTCATTGCCCTACACCCACATCTTTACCCATTGCCCTACACCCACATCTTTACCCATTGTCTCACCCATATACCTTCAGTCATCGCCCTACACCCACACCTTTACCCATTGCCCTGCACCCACATCTTTACCCATTGTCTCACCCATATACCTTCAGTCATTGCCCCATCCTACACATTTGGCCCTCTCACTGGACCCACAGTCTTTATTACAGTACTACAGTGTATCAGATTAACTGGTATTACTGAGAGATATGCCCTTACCATCAAACATAAGTTTGTACTAACAGACCATTCAGAATTGATATTTTCTTTACTCATCAATGCCTTACAGTGCCTGTTACTGTCTGTACAGTAGACATCTATACAGTCACTCTGTTGAATGACAATAGAACATTTTCACATTCCCAATTTTTTTTTTTTTTTTTTTACTTTTTTTAATTACTTCAATAAATTAATACTTAATTTATACATATAAGCGTTTTTATGGATTTTCTGTTAATACATGATACCAAGTAACTTTACAATAAGTATAACAATTTAGATGTAGATAAAACCGTTCTTCTGTTTAGACATTTTAAATCACTGGCCACTTTCCTTTGTTATTTGTCACGATTGGTTATTTCATTATGTAGCACATCGCTTCACTGTGATCTTACACTGATTGTAAAGGGAACTCACAGATTCAAATCTTATCCGCAGAAAGTTGGAACAAATCACAAAATACTGTCTGACAACGCGATTGTCAGCTATACAAGGAGAAAATATAGATTCTTCCCCATTGAAATCAATAGTGGCTGGATGTAGTATAGTCAGGGAAACTCTGGTAAAGTATGGTTGTAGTCTGCCCACTTTCACATTGATATACCACAACCGCTTTAGCATTTCACCAAAGGTAATACATATGTATGGAGAAAATCGTCATTTGTCAAGATCGCGATTTGTGATATAGTTAATGAATCATAGTTTAAAAGACTGCATATTTGTTTATAACACAGTAGTCTATGCACTGATAATCAAATGCAATACTTTAATCCGGTATCTACCACAACATTCACAATGATGTACATCAGCTGTATAAAAATCCATAAGCTATATGCACCTTTCATTTTGTGCATATATCTAGCTTGATAGCATCAGATGGTAGGCTTTTCAACACTTAAATTAGAGAGTAAAAAAAGTCGCGGGGAGTGTAAAGTTGAACTTTCAGTTTTCAAATTGTTAGGAATGTTGTGTGGGATCACAATCACAAAAAGTATCTCAAATGAAAATTTTCATTTATGCAACTGTAGGAGAAAAAAAAAACAGCTAAATTATCCTATGTACAAAACAGGAAAAATATGGCTGCAAAAAAACCACCTTGTACCAAAGCACAAGTAATTAGCAAATGAACCGCATCAACAGTTTTCATGCACTAAAGCACATTTAAAAACTTTTTTATTAATTACCCTTTGTACCGAAACAAGACCAAATGGCAGCAAAACAAGTTCCCTATACCATAGCATATGTAAATTAGCCAATGTACCAAAAGAGGAACGTTTAAGTTACCCTATAGGCCAAAACGGGAAAAAATGGTTGTGGAAAAATCACCGTTTACCAAAGGAAAAGAATATTGTACCAAAGCATGTGAATAGAATAGCCCTTAAGTACCACAACAGGAAAAAATGACTCGAAAAAATTAACCCCGTACCAAAGCATATATAAATCACCGTGTGTACTATAGCAAGTGAAAAGTATGTACGGTAAAATGATAGGTAATTCATGAAAAAGGGTCTCTTTACAAGCCCTGTTCTGTTCAGTTGTGTATAAGAATGCAGTGCCTAAATATATAGTCTGTTATAGCAGATCTTTATCGGTAACACATCAATTAGACAATATCACTTGGGGAAAAGTTTCAGCAGTAATCAGCATAGCTTTAATTAAGTAAATCTCTAAACTAATCACTAAGGGATATGTGAAAGAACAACGAAATGCTTTTAGAATTAGTGTTAGATTAGGGGTAACTACACTAAAGACTTATATGTATGTCGGTTGTATAGGACTATTCACATAGAAGTAGTTCAAGGTCATTTAATTATAATGCTGGAAGTCACAGGAAATTAGTCTTTTACTCTAAATAAAGTAACAGCAAGTAGGTAAAAAATACCTATATGTTTAATTGACATTTATTTGTTATAGAGATGGATCAAATGATGTGGGGTTCTGTCTGAAAGAAGTATGAACTTCACATCATTGGACCCCACTCCTTTTCATCCTTTTCACCAATTGTTTTCAAACTGCGTATATACCTTATCAGTCGTTTTCCTGGAAATTTAACTATTTCCTTATTTCTTTCAGAGCATGATTGTGGATCAGACGATAGAGAAAGTGTCGTTCTGTGCACCTGATCGCAATCATGAAAAAGGCTTCGCTTACATTTGTCGTGACGGCACCACTAGACGATGGATGTGCCACGGTTTTCTTGCCGTGAAAGAATCCGTAAGTGTCAGTAGTATTTTTGTTCATTTTTAAGCTTTGGTCGATTGCACTCTGTGTCAGTGTATGTACCCCAAATTTGTGACCAGGCAGTCTGAAGCTGGAGACCATTGGTATAAAAATTTTGATCATATCTAAATGTAGAATTTTTTCATTTGGATAAAATTTCCCTTTTTTTCCCCTGTGGACATTGATCCTCTATGCAAAAGAGTAATAAAAAGACATCTTGTGTTTCATCTTCTATTTTTAGACCTCCAATTATTATAGAATGTCTTGGCATCACTCAAATTCTGTTTTTTTAAATTTCAAGATTGTATAATTGAAGAGAGGTGGATGGAGTAACTGCTTGGATTGCAAATAAATGCTTGACATTTCTTGAATTAAGATAAATGGATACTGAATAAGAGTGTTATTGACTTCCTGCTACACACAGAGGACAAGCCTGTTGTTGACAGCCTGAGCACAACCTGTAAAGGGAAACAAACACTGACATCATCTTCTACTTTGTGTCGTTAATTCAGCTTTTTAGAATTTTTCTTTCGAAAAAGTAACGCACCCAATCAATGCCTAAGATGATGATTTTGCTTAATATTGGATGTTTTTTCCTGCATCTGGATACAGGCTGATGATTAATCTCAATTTTTGCATCAACATTATTTCTGTTTGTGCATGGCGTGGAACTTCTATGTGTCTACTTTTAGAAATGCAAACTGTTCTCGAATCATGATGTTGTTTATAGTGAATAACCTTACCTTTGATTTTTGTTTATAACATTTGTATAATGTGTGTGAAAAACCCCACTTACCCAAGCGAATGTGGCGCATATGTCCAGGTATCGAGGGATGTGCAAACAAGATAAGTTTTAGGAAGTGTATATATAAACCATGTGTTAAATATGAAATATAGTTTTAGTTTAGTGGTTTCAATCTATAATCAAACGCTTCTTTTGAAAGACAAAAAATTATGGAGCTAATCTTACTGATATACACTGCTTTTTTTCACAGTCCTGGCCTTCACTCTTCTATTTCAATCAATTTTAATGAAAATTCAAGGAATTTTATCTCAGTTTACTGTAAATCATTAAAACTCCTGTAAACACACATAATTCTTTTAAGAGAAACTAGAACCAGCTAAAATTGATTCCTGTGCAGGTTAAGGTACAGGGGGATGATGTGTGCGAATTTTACTACCTGGTAGTGTAAACACTCAGGAACAATGTCTTGATTTAAATCAATACGTAAGCCTGTCACAGTCAGGGTTCATGTATATAGAGAGTCCTACAATCTCTTCACTACAACGCAACTATGTGAATTACAGAACCCTATTTCTTAACACCTTTGTGGGGTAAACTTCTGTTGAAGATATTCAGGCAAATTAGGTTATCATAAAAGTAAACAAGAAGTCATAGAAACCAGAAACAGGAGACAGCGTTGTCATTTTATAACACTGAATATGGATCCTGTAAGGATTATGTAGGAAAAATCATTTGATAAAACTGCTTTCAAGTTAGTTTCAAAACTTAGTCCAGATATTCGTAATTCTATAAGATTAAATTAAAGAATAGGATTTCAGTTAAGATGTTTTTGTAGGACTTTCAGAGAATCTTTATAATTAGGAATGCACATAATGTACAAGTCGACAAGTTCCTTGGTTTGAAAAGTAGAACAGTAATACTATTTCAGGATACAACAAGATTGAATGAATAATTTCAAAGCATGAAAGATTTCTTACGTACCTAGCATAAAAAGTAAGACTCCGATAACTTGCTAAAACTTATTAGGGATCACGATCATAATAGCCCAATTACATAGAATATTGGCCAACTTATCCCCAGAAACTTGACAGTCATTGGTGTCTGGTTTGATGCTCCCTAGCTGACACAGGTTGTTTCTCGGGAAGCTGAAAATAAGACCAGCTTGTATTATCATTACCGTGTCTCTGAGCAAGACATTTTACCGTAATTGCGCCGGATGACATGCAATGGGCCTTCCATATGTTATTCAGTGAAGTAGCCACCAGCTGCTACAAGGAGACTCTACCTCAAAATGACATTGGCTGTTCATGGATGTACAGATTGTTATACCTAGCATAGTTGTTCTGATTGTCATCCTTAAAATTGTATAAAATGTAAAATCTTAATCAGCTCGTTTAATTGAATGAAACGTGTATTAAGGTTGTAAGGGCATAAAGAATTGATGTAGAATATGCATTTTTCCCCATATATTTTAAGCTGTACTACTGATTACACTTACAAACAGTAAAACTAGTCTTACAGAGTCAACGACATCTTTATTTACAGAACTCACTGCTCTTTATCCGGTCGATGGAATTCTCAGATTTGGTTGATAGACGTAAAAATTTCATATAAAAATGTTTGATAATTAGTTTTGCTTCCAGAAATTATTTCAAACATTGCTAGTCTGCCAATTAAGACAGGATGATGAGCCTTGAGTTGGGTAAAAAATGACAAAGTAGCTATAGGTAGATATCTGAGTATATATATCCACAAGGAACAGCGGCAGAGGTAGTGACATGTTTATAGTGTTTTGTTTTATTTTATCCCAGAAACATGCATCCATCCCTTTTATTTTTTGTTTATTTCTTTATTTTCACCACTTGAAGAAGCTCTTCAAAGCCCGACATAGGAATAAGCGTTCAGTGAGTAATCATTATCCTGGTCTCATATAATACTAAGCACTGTATTCTGCATGTAACTAGTTATATTATTGCCACACCAGCCCTGGGTTGTCCAACCACTTGGATTTTTGGGAATAAAAAAGATTAAATCAAAACTTTTTTCAGCTATAACCCTGCCTGAAAATTGTAGAATGCTTGCTAGCTAGCTAGCCTGGTTTGATTTGGCTTGTACTAAATTTGTCTACCAGCTGAAGTCGGACCAGATCTAACATTTAACAACAGTTCAGAGCATGCCGGTATCTATGTCTGGCGACAGTTGGTAGACTCTTACTAACTCCGTTTTCTCTACTAATAGCTAATCAATACTTAAATTATTACTCTGATCGTGTGACTTCCTTTCAGGATTCTTGAGACAATCTTCTCAATTTCTTGTTGATCCTGTAGTAATGTAGCAGATATTCTGTAGGTGCTATTGTAATTGCTCTGAAGCCTAGCCTTGTACAATATTACGTCTCTGATCGAATCATTGTCTACTTACACTCTATTGCATGCAAGATTTCCTTGCATTTCGTTGACCAGAATAAAGCTATGACCATTTTTTTTTCTCTCTATTGATTATTGTACGGCATCATAATGGTGCATAATTCCAATGTGTTTATGATTATTTCCCTGTCTTGAGAAATTTGCCACAGAAAATTGCTTTGAGTTTCGTCTCTAGGATTTCTTTGATGTCACTGTCTAGTGCATTGCTTACCGTTGCTGCTTGTCATGAAATATTAGCATGTTAAAGGAAAATTTCTCTTTTGCATACGTTGATAATGACTGAAGTTTCAGGCTGATTATGTCTCATGTCAATTTCAGTGGAAATGACGTGAGTTTGGCGAATAAGAAATTACTCATAAGTAACAGATTTATAGAAAATCATTTTTCAGAATCAAATTTACATAAAAATCATGATTTTTTAGTAACTTTTGACTTTAAAATATTTGTAGTCATTAATTTTCATGTATATCCTATGAGTAATGGACATAAAACCTATTTTCAGTTTCCAATAAAGCTCTCTTATATATTGTAATATCTGGAATCTTGTCCAGTAATGATCAATATTAATGGTACAAATATATTTTGTTTTCTTTTGTGTAATAACTTTGTACCTTTGTAGATGATTTTGCAAATTATTTCATGAATACAACGACTTCACCATTAGTATATCTCCGTCAGGGTTTGTCATTCTTTATATTCATCACTCAGTTCTACATTATTAAAAACATTTTTCTATTCAACTGTATGCAGTCCTTGGAGAGAGCTTTTCCCGTCACAACATTTTCCTTCTATACAGCTGGTATACACAGAAAACTACCAGCTTCTGTACAGCTGGTATACACAGAAAACTACCAGCTTCTATACAGCTGGTATACACAGAAAGCTACCAGCTTCTATACAGCTGGTATACACAGAAAACTACCAGCTTCTGTATAGCTGGTATACACAGAAAACTACCAGCTTCTGTATAGCTGGTAAACACCAGCTTCAGTCTCGTGGATTCCTAACCTTGAAATTATTCTCAGTAATGATGTAGAAGGGTATTAACAAATATCATCTCTGAAATATAATGACCTGTAGCGTAGTTTGATCATAGGAAGATCCAGGATTTATGTGTTTTAGATGCCTAGGTATCATTTCCCAGAAAGTGAATTTGCTTTCCTATATATTTTCTGGGTTTACAAACACTCCCTTGTTGGAGATACAATACAGACACTAGGATTTAGCTTAAAAGCACAAAAACTTCCCAATTTACAATGTTGAAATTCTCAAATGCAAATGCAAAAGTTTCATCATGATGATGTTATTGTTGAGAATTCATACAAAAACACATATCCAGGAGCTTTATGAAATGTATTCTAAGGCATTTGTTTCAAAGTTCATCACTGTAGATTGACTAGTTCCTTATTCTTTGCTGCATTCCTTCCAATATTTCTGAATGTCTGCAATCCAGTATAGTTTACATCATCTTCAAATTCATCATAAAATTTCTCATCATCATCATCGTCATCATCATCATCATCATCATCATCATCATCATCATCATCATCATCATCATCATCATCATCATCATTTTATTATTATTATTATTTAGAACATCCTAGTATAATTGTAATCTTCACCTTCCTCTTGAGAACATCACAGTATCGTTGTCATCATCATCATCATCTACCTCTCCAGAACATCCTAGTATCATTGTTATTGTCATCATCTACCTCTCCAGAACATCCTAGTATCATTGTTATCGTCATCATCTACCTCTCCAGAACATCCTAGTATCATTGTTATCGTCATCATCTACTTCTCCAGAACATCCTAGTATCATTGTTATTGTCATCATCTACCTTTACAGAAAATCCTAGTATCATTGTTATCGTCATCATCTACCTCTCCAGAACATCCTAGTATCGTTGTCATCATCTTCCTCTCCAGAACATCCTAATATCATTGTCATGGTCATCACCTTCCTCTTCAGAACCAGAGTATCATTGTCATTGTCATTATCATCATCATCTTCTTATTTAGAACATCCTAGTATCATTGTCATCATCATCTTCCTCTTCAGAACATCTTAGTATCGTTGTCATCGTCATCATCCTCTTCAGAACCAGAGTATCATTGTCATCATCTTCCTCTTCAGAACCAGAGTATCATTGTCATCATCTTCCTCTTCAGAACCAGAGTATCATTGTCATCATCTTCCTCTTCAGAACCAGAGTATCATGGTCATCATCTTCCTCTTCAGAACCAGAGTATCATTGTCATCATCTTCCTCTTCAGAACCAGAGTATCATGGTCATCATCTTCCTCTCCAGAACATCCTAGTATCATTGTCATCGTCTTACTCTTCAATACACTTTAGTATCATTGTCATCGTATTCTAATGCCATTGTGATGATATGTCATCAGTACCTTTCTTTATGGAATATCTTTCTTCTGGTCAACAGAATAGCTTACTTTTAGTCAGCAAAATCTTTTTACTTTTATTTAAAATCAACTTGTCACTTTCCTGTCCTGTCCTTCCCTAGCAGATACAGATATCTTTCCCAGGGGCAGGGAATGCATGTTCTCGTTGTATATGACAATGCTGGCGGGGCATATGTGTACACATGTGTATCTTCAGAAGCACTGGCACAAGGCAGCGGGCATTTATCACACACGGTTTCACGCAGTACCGCTGTAGCTAGAAGTATGTGTGTTAGGTGACGCGGACCCCACAGGTAAGGGCTTTGTTTTATATGTATACCTACCTGTACAGGTGCTCTGACTGATTTGCTGCTACATGAATAAGTGGACAAGCATGTGACCAAGACAGATTTCAATCTACATCTTCACATCATCAAATATCTTTACTGTCACTTGAATGCTCCGATGATTTGAGGAGCAACTGTTCAGCACAATTTACAGTATAAGGAGCTTGTTTCTTATCATACAATGTTATGTCAAACCTCGAAGTCTGTATAACCACTAGCATGAATCTAAAGATTATCCAAACAAGCAACATTGATGAAAAGCCTTGATGTAAGTCCGGAAGTTAACAATACAGATAATATGAGTAGGATTTAATTCCTTTTAAATTATTTGGATTATGTGAAGAAAATTCATTAGCGGACAGATGATGATTAAAAAAAGGTAAAATTCAAAGAAAGCATGACAATTGCAGTACAATAAAGATATTTCAGCATTGATAAGGAATTCTTCATAATCTTTTGTCTGTGTACAAAGAATAGGAATTGTTACATTGACATGACTAAACTCCACTGAATGTTTGAAGAGCAACAAAAGAGCTTACAGGTGCTTCAATATAGCCACATACCAATGGTTAAACTTGAACGAAAGCTTAGGAACTGGCTGTTAATGTCCTTGTGTCATTCATTTGGTTATTATTTTAATTAAGACTGTATTTTGTTCAATATATATGGTTATAACTTAAACTAGTGATTATCACTTAATTTTTCCTGGTCAGAGTATTTATGGTTAAATGAAATGCCTTTAGTAGGAATGGCTGGTACGATGTGTTGTAGATACATTTATCTCCTGTAATACTATTGGTCGATAAGTAAGTCTGTTGTATCATCATTAGGGAGGAATGCCTGTAAGTCCTGGTAAGGGTCGTTTTCTTATCATCTCTAATTACGGCTAGTGAAAGTCCACAAGATGATCTGTTCATTGTCTGGTGGCCTGTCTACCTGTAAATTGACGCTCAAGCATGTCTATGATATTATAATTCAGATAACTTCACTGGAATGGTTGATAAACACATAAAACTTTAATAAAAAAAATACTGGTTAGGAGCTGATACTTGTAAAAAGGGCATTATATTTAAAGAACAGAGGTGTAAGAGATCAAATTGAATTTGTCTGGACATTGTAACTGTTATACATACCAAGTAAAAAGGTTTCACCTACAATAGAACAGTCCTCCTTATACTCCCCTGAAAAATGTGATATTTTCACAAAGATTTTTTTTATTATTATTTTGATGCATGAATTGTAACAGACATGTTTAACAACCACTTAACAGATATAACATTTAATACTTAACACTGTTAATCAAGATTGTACTAAACAAGTTCAAATATTGTCCTGTGCTTATACTTTAGTTGCTCATGCTGTTGAACTTTTGCTGATGGCTTTGACTGTAAGAATGTAAAACATGACGTTTCAACAAGGAATGCCATTCACACTGGAATGCTAATGTTTATTGGTACAGCGTAGCTGTTGGAAAATCAGTCTCATCTTGTAAAGTTGATGTGTTAGTGGGCATATGAATTTTAAATGATTTCTCATTGCATTTGAAAGCTTCCATTTTGCTGCATGGTAAATGCATACTCCCATTAGAAGTCGGATTTAATTTATATAATATGCACTGCATAATCTTGCTAGGCTTGAAGTTTCTTTTCATTTCTTTATATCTATCTAATATGTAAACTCTCAGATGTGTATTTGAACTTGTTTGTATATAATGTAAATTGCTATTTTTAAGTTTCATATAATTGATATATAGCCATTAATTTTTATCCTATTCTTGGATTATTCAAAGAAGGCTTGCATGTATGTGGTGATTTTTAATTCGCAACCTGTTTATGTTTTTAAAACTTGTGTAATTTTTTTTGCTTGTCTATATGTATAAGTCATGTCTGTCTTTCTGAAGTATACATGGTTATTAGACGAGCGACATGCACTGCTGCTAAGATACACAGATGGTTTTGAAACATAACTACACTTCAGAATATTGATTAAAGATGTTGTGGCTATCAATCAATCAACATTTAGGAAATACGGCTTGATACGAATGGATCATTTGTTTATTACAATTGACTCCATGAAATGTACATGTTGAGACGTAACACATACATAAAACTCAATATACTGTTATTTTATCAAGGTGTAGTTGAAATATGTACAAAATAAAACTGATATCTCAAAGAATAGTTTATTAATTTTTTGAGGCTCCTAGTTGTTTTGGAGGGTGGTCATGCTGACCCTGTGTTTTGTACCTATAGGGGGAGCGACTAAGCCATGCTGTGGGATGTGCCTTTGCAATATGCCTGGAGAGGAAACAGAAACGAGACAAAGAGGTGACAACCAGTGTGACAGTGACCTACAGTCAGGATCGTACAAGCTTCACACGGATGGGCTCTTTCAGGCAGACTTCGCTGACCGAGAGGATTACAGACCCTCAGAGTGCCATTATAGCAGGTTAGAAGTTAAACAGGATGGTAACTGTGATGTTAGAGAGGATCATGTGAAATTTCTATGTTGAAGTAGGGCTGTGATAGGGTATATGACAAGTCACATGTCAATGGTATATGACAAGTCATGTGTCAATGGGATATGGCTAGTCACATGTCAGTGGGGATATGGCTCGTCACATGTCAATGGGATATGGCTAGTCACATGTCAGTGGTATAAGACAAGTCACATGTCATTGGGATATGGCTAGTCACATGTCAGTGGTATAAGACAAGTCACATGTCAGTGGTATAAGGCAAGTCACATGTCAGTGGTATAAGACAAGTCACATGTCAATGGGATATGGCTAGTCACATGTCAGTGGTATAAGACAAGTCACATGTCAGTGGTATAAGACAAGTCACATGTCAATGGGATATGGCTAGTCACATCTCAGTGGTATAAGACACGTCACATGTCAGTGGTATAAGACAAGTCACATGTCAGTGGTATAAGACAAGTCACATGTCAGTGGTGTATGAGTAGTCAGGTGTCAATGGGATATGGCTAGTCACATGTCAGTGGTGTATGAGTAGTCACAGGCAAGAAGATTATTTGTAGAATTCACATATATAAATAATTAATGTTAAAATGTACCAGGTAATGGTGAAGAATAACATGGTCAAAATAATCACAAGGTCTAAATAATGTAGAGGAAAGAATCACAGGGTCTAAATAATGTAGGGAAAGAATCACAGGGTCTAAATAATGTAGAGAAAGAATTACAGGGTCTACATAATGTAGAGGAAAGAATCAAAGGGTCTAAATAATGTAGAGGAAAGAATCACAGGGTCTAAATAATGTAGGGAAAGAATCACAGGGTCTAAATAATGTAGGGAAAGAATCACAGGGTCTAAATAATGTAGAGAAAGAATCACAGGGTCTAAATAATGTAGGGAAAGAATCACAGGGTCTAAATAATGTAGAGGAAAGAATCACAGGGTCTAAATAATGTAGAGGAAAGAATCACAGGGTCTAAATAAGGAAAGAATCACAGGTAAATAATCTAAATAATGTATAAGGAAAGAATCACAGGGTCTAAATAATGTAGAGAAAGAGGGTCTAAATAAAGAGAAGAATCACAGGGTCAAATAATGTAAATAATCACAGGGTCTAAATAATGTAGAGGAAAGAATCACAGGGTCTAAATAATGTAGGGAAAGAATCACAGGGTCTAAATAATGTAGAGAAAGAATCACAGGGTCTAAATAATGTAGGGAAAGAATTACAGGGTCTAAATAATGTAGGGAAAGAATCACAGGGTCTAAATAATGTAGAGGAAAGAATCACAGGGTCTAAATAATGTAGAGAAAGAATCACAGAGTCTAAATAATGCAGAGGAAAGAATCACATGGTCTTAATAATGTAGGGAAAGAATCACAGGGTCTAAATAATGTAGGGAAAGAATCACAGGGTCTAAATAATGTAGGGAAAGAATCACAGGGTCTAAATAATGTAGGGAAAGAATCACAGGGTCTAAATAATGTAGAGAAAGAATCACAGGGTCTAAATAATGTAGAGGAAAGAATCACAGGGTCTAAATAATGTAGGGAAAGAATCACAGGGTCTAAATAATGTAGGGAAAGAATCACAGGGTCTAAATAATGTAGGGAAAGAATCACAGGGTCTAAATAATGTAGGGAAAGAATCACAGGGTCTAAATAATGTAGGGAAAGAATCACAGGGTCTAAATAATGTAGAGGAAAGAATCACAGGGTCTAAATAATGTAGGAAAGAATCACAGGGTGTAAATAATGTAGAGAAAGAATCACAGGGTCTAAATAATGTAGAGGAAAGAATCACAGGGTCTTAATAATCTAGGGAAAGAATCACAGGGTCTAAATAATGTAGGGAAAGAATAGGGAAAGAATCACAGGGTCTAAATAATGTAGGGAAAGAATCACAGGGTCTAAATAATGTAGAGAAAGAATCACAGGGTCTAAATAATGTAGGGAAAGAATCACAGGGTCTAAATAATGTAGGGAAAGAATCACAGGGTCTAAATAATGTAGAGGAAAGAATCACAGGGTCTAAATAATGTAGAGAAAGAATCACAGGGTCTAAATAATGTAGAGGAAAGAATCACAGGGTCTAAATAATGTAGAGGAAAGAATCACAGGGTGTAAATAATGTAGGGAAAGAATCACAGGGTCTAAATAATGTAGAGGAAAGAATCACAGGGTCTAAATAATGTAGTCAGATTTTGTTGTTGATACTGTTATGATAAGATAAATAACTTCATTATTTTTTCCACAGAGCCTGTCCCAGTGAAGAAGGTAGACAACCCGTTTGCTGTACAGAGACCTCGGGCTACACCCAACATGCTGCAAAGGCAGGGCTCATTCAGGGGCTTTGAAAATTTACAGGCAGAGTCATCCCCCTTTAAACGCTCTGTTTCTTTACGACTGAATGACTTGCCATCAACACTACAGCGACAGAATGCTGTATATGACACATCACCACCTAAATCATCTAATACAGGTAAGTATTCAGTAGTATGTTAGACTAGGTGTTACAGTTGCATCAGGCCAGGTGTTACTGCTATGACAGACCAGAGCAGGTAACATAGGTACATAGCTACATAGGTAGGCCAGTCGTTACAGGTATGCAAGGTCAGGTGCTATGATGGACCAGGTAATATATAGGTAGGTCAGGCCAGTCATTATAGGTGTGCAAGGCCAGTTATTAAAGCTATCTCATGCCAGATTTTATAGGTATGTCAGGCCAGGTTTTAAGCTATGCCATGTCAGGTATTAAAGGTATGTCAGACCAGGTAATACAGCTATGTCATGTCACAGCTATGCCATGTCATGTCATGTAGGTATGTCAGACCAGGTAATACAGCTATGTCATGTCACAGTTATGTCATGTCAGGAGTTATAGGTATGTAAGGCCAGGTGTTAATTAAAGGTACATGAGGCCAGATGTTAAAGGTACCTGAAGGCTAGTTGTTACAGGAACATCAGGCCAAATGTCATAGTTACTTGAGGGCTTGGCTTACCATCATCTGTGTTTAGCTCTTTTATTCAATAATGAAGTAGAAAGTGATGGCATGAATATGTTCCCATACATTTTCTTACAATACAACTGCTACATGTAAATTACATCCAATTCTGGTTATAAAGGTATAACTGGGCCAATACAAGAGATGTCGCCTACTAAGGAGGAGGAGGACTCTATCTCCCAAATGTGTCAGCAACTCACACGAGGGTTGTCTGCCCTTACTACTGAGGATCCATTCGCAGCGGCGCCATCGTCATCATTCCAAAACCAACAAGCACCTCAGCCCACTCAAGCCAGCAATGTTCACCAACAGGCCAGCTCTATTCCATCGTCATCAGCCCAGCAATGTAAGTAGAAATTTGCCATCAAGCTGGGGCAAACAGTAGTATTGTATTATAAGTTTACAGTGCCTGATTCAGAAATATCTAATCTTAGCCAGGTCAAATTTTTACCATTGAAAAGCAGGAATAAAAATTATCTAATGTCACCCTTTATCAATTTAGATTCAAGAGTCAACGTTTGCTATTTAATCTTCTGAAGTATAAAGATATCATTTTTTAAATGTCACTTTCTGGTTTTTAACAGATTTGTGTTTTGTTTTGTCAGCATTCACAATGGCAGGCCAGTCTCCAGGTATGTTTGCCCAGCAAGCAGGTGTTCCAGTTCAGCAGACCAATCCTTGGGCGTCACAGCCGCACCCAGCTGCCAGTAGAGTGCCAAACCAGACAGCAGATTTGTGGCCTCCTACATCTACAAACCCATTTGCTGGAGCACCTGTTGTCAATGGCGTGCCTTCCGCCTCTAGTAGGTTCCCCCAGCCCCCACCTCGCACTTTGAACCAGCCCCATCCCCATATCCAACACACTCGAAGTCATTCCATAGACACTGGTGAACTGTCAGCCGGTCACAACTGGGCCACACAGCACCAACAAAAACCTACACTTTTAGAAATGTCTGCCCATCAGAGGAGCTTTCAACATAATGGAAGCCCATGGTCGAACTCTGGGGCTGTGGCAGCCACCTCTTCATCTACGACGCAAGGTGGAAAGGACGTTGTTGACCCTTTTGATGTAGCGTGGGCAGCAAAAGCTGGTAAACAGCATAACCCGTTTGCACCTTCAAATACAAAAGCATTTGAGGTGAAGTTATAGGACATTTCATAGTGTGTCTAGGAAAAATTACCAAAATGTGATATAGATATTGTGTATCACTATGTGGGAAATATTCAGAGTGATAAACACTGTGAATTGCTGCAAGTAGACAGTGTATACATACATCCGTACCAAGATTACAGGGCAGGCCTTCAGGACAGGGAACATGCCGGGGACTCTGCCTGGGTAGGTCTATACCTGGTGAGGATGTCATCTGGAAGCACACTGAGATGCGATATGATTTGAAAGTGCTGTAATAAGAGGGACAAATATTCATAAAAAGCAGACTTTATATTCATTGTGAATTTAGTATATTTACTGTATAGACAGACGACAAAACACCTATTCATTCATCGTCATCTTTATTTGGGACTTTATAATCAGAGATCCTATGATAAAGAAATCAGATGTAAAAGAAATTAATTTTCAGTTCTCAAGAAATTTAGTGAGAAATATGGTTCAGTGAGGAAATGATTTCAGAAAGAAAAAGAAATTTTATCTGAAGTTAAAATAAAGAAAATACGTCATTCAATGTTAGTGGTTTTGAATGTTTAAAACAGTTCGTCAAATTGTAATGAATTAATTGATCTAAAGGCCCTTTACCATGTTGTACCATTTCCGATGTGACCATGCTTTAGGTTTGCTTGTTGGCCTTTGAAGGTCAGATTCGCTGCTGCATTTTTGTCTGTCAAGCTAATTTAAGAGAAGAAATAAAATCCATTTATCATTTAAATCATTGAAACGATCCTCATGATTGTCGTCAATGTCATCATCCTCCTCATCATCATCATCATAGCAGATAAGTCTGTACTAGCTTATTGATAGCGTTGTGATCATGTATTACAGATGGAATCATAATATCAGCACTGAAAACTGATCAGGTATCATATCGCTTTTTATCAAGGTTTGTGTTGAATATGAGTTCTTTGTAGCACTCATTTACATTCATATTTTAAACTGTTTATATAAATATATATATGTTATATATACTAGTTGTGTACCATTATATAGTAGTTACAAATTAAACCTTTCAAAATACTGTGATTAGCAGCAGGCTGCCAGGGTAGTCTCCCTTGAATGCATTGGAATTACATAGATGGGAGGTCACATTCGAACTGTTTCAAAAACTTTCAAATAGTTAACAACTTTATATTGAGATTTATCACTGAAATTTTATGATGTTTTTAAAAATATTTGTAATTCAATGACTTTTACTTCTGCTATGAATTAAAATTAATTGATTTTAATATGAATTTTTTTCTTTTTTCAATTATCTTTACAATTTTAGCAGTGATTTTCTCGAAAAAATTAACTTGGGGACACTAAAAAGGTTTTTATTCTTCCAATTCTTTTAACTGTAGCAGTAGGTTGTTTGAGACTTACATGAAGCTTGTGTTCGATTTTTCTACCTTAGTTTCAGTGGCTGACGTATTTGGTGTATTACATTATATTCTTGATTCACTGATGAGTCTTCATTGCTATCGATTTTGAATTTGTTACTAAATTGTTAACATGGCTTCCATTTTTACTTTACTGATAACTTGTGATAATTTGGTCTTTTGGAGTCAACATTTAAACAAATAGAAATTTTCTGAATTTCAATAATGAAAATGAAACTGTTCATACGTTGGTTTGAAAGGTTGTGAAAAATTGCCTCCCCTTTAGGAATTTTTTAATTGGGCAGTGTAAATCATCCATATCTACATAATATTAATTGGAGATGACTGTGTTTAACTGGACATAAATTTACGAATGTTGTGATGGGATGTTGGTCACAAAGATACACTTTAATATGTTTAAATACTATGTGATCTAGAAACGTACCGGTACATCATCATCTTATATCTTCATCACTTACAGATTACTAATGTAGAAAATTCTGTAAGGTCACTGTTTGTGAATCTGATTTTATCTATACTGATTTCTTTTTGTAAAAAATAAGGTTGTTTCTTTTTAACGTGTACTCAAAAAATAGTAAAATGATTCAGCGATGAAATTAGATAAATTTTATCACCAATGATTGTCTTATTATATACTTCAATTTTTTAATTACCTTATACTAAGTTACGTCCAGTCTTACAAAAGGACTAATATAGAAGTATTTTGTACTGTTATTCAACTTTACGTTATTAAAACTCAAATCCTAAGTTGATATGTACATTTGAGATTTTTTGCTCTGCACACATACACCCTATTTATATAAGTACATGTATATAATTATCAAAGTACTAGCAAGTATATTGTGTCTAGAAAAGTGAATGTGATGGTGATTCAGGGGGCCATTTGTGTTGAGCACTTTAAATTATTGAACAGGGTTCTGATTATGTATACTGAAACTAGAGGAAAGTAGAAATATTTTCCCTACAATTTCATGACAACCAGACACAGGAAGACCAACTGTTAACATGCCTTTCATATGGAGACAATTATTTTTCTAATGCTGTTGATGTATATTATTTTCTAAAATTCAAAACATTTCATTAATCTGCTTTGCTTTCAGGGAAATTTAGAAAAAAGATGTAAAAAATCAAATTTCTTTACAAATTTTTTAATGAAAGTTTCAATTATGATAATTTGTAACATTTCACTTTTTTCTATGGAAATGAGTTTGTGATCAAATCTTTTTTTAGTATTAAGATTTAAATCAAAGTGATATGTAACACAAACACATTAACAATACACTATTTGCTTAATTTGCTAAATATTTGTTTGAAGGTTTAGCTATAACATTCAGTGTGATTGGCACAGAGTTGTTCTCAATATACAGTCTAAATTTCATGGTGTTATCACATGATGTCTGGTTCATTCATGAAATGGTGCCCACTATCAGTTTAAATCAGAAATAAGGTTAAGAAAACATGTACATGAAAGCATGAAGAATAAAATCCTCTATAAAATGTCTTGTCTATGATCAACACAAGTGCCAAAATTTGTTCTTTTAAACATTTTAAAAAGAAAAATGTTTATATCGATTTAGTTTTTAAGTTTTTAACTGAAACATCATGTCACCCACATGTATACTTGTATATCAGATTAAAGACAAAATTATATCTCAAATTGTCAAGAAGGTAGAGCTTAAAAGGGATTGTAACCATAATGATGGAAAATTTGTCATAATGCATATATAACTTCTCTGAAAAGTGTATCATAAATACAAGCAATTGGCTAGTTGAATGTACACCTGATTGGCTTTAGCTGTATGTTAGAGAGAGATTGGAGAATGAATGTGTTACATAGTGCGAGCATTTGATGGAATGAATGAAGAAAGGGAGAAAGAACGCATGAAAATATCAGTAGCTATGGCTTAGGATGGCTTGTCTGATGAAGCCCCAACCTTTGACCTTGTTAGCACTGATTGTAACACTACATGTGTATTTTATTCTCTTCTCTGATAAATAAATGAAATTTGATAACAATATATAAACTTAGTTTTCTTCTTTTTCCTAGAATAGTTAGTTATGAAGTTGTTCAGTATCACAGCTAGATCTGTACACATATAGATGGTAATTCATCAACACATTGGGATCAATATATTCCTATCTAATATACAATTTACAATTATGATCATGATAGAAATGTCTTACCTGTAGATGGTAACAGTATATAGATATTATTTATTGGTACAGCATTTAATGTTCAAACATTTTTACTTGTTTCTAACATGTGAATGACAACTAAATTATTCACAGTTGAAGCGCAATGAATTTTATTAACACAAACATATCCTTAAATGTGGATTACAACAGAAATGTCAACCAGGAATGTCAACATAGCATTATCTATTTTAAGGTTACAGGTTTCATGTGCTGAATGTTAACCAGTATTATGTTGCCCCAGATTCATTGACGAATGAAAGTAAACATTTCATTAATGAGTATTTTGGCCCTTTTCTGGTACAGTCATTGCTTGATGCTTCAGCAGCTGTCAGTGAGTTGTTGTGAAGGTTGTTTATTTTACCGACTGAGAATTTCCAGAGATAAAATTTAAACCAGCTACCGGTATGTCTGATCTACATCAACATCACATCTTAACTCTCCCGAAGATTTTATCATAGGGACACAGCTTTTGGCTGTGAGCTACCAACAACAAAACTTCCTATTTTCTCTGTCAATAGCAAAAATAAAATTCTGCCAACATGTGTATTTTCCTTTATTTTGAAAGTAGGATTCACAAATAAACATGTAAATTTGAGAAGAATATGAATTACGTTAAAACACGAAAGGAAGACTTAATAAATAAACATGACACATACAGAATGCAACAGAATGATTTTCCCCATCATCAGATTGGATGGCGATTCAGATGACTTTATTGTTTAATGTCATAAGAGAAGGAATTTACATATTCTCTTGCATGTCGATGAAACCCAGCAGTTGGGTTTCTGAAAGGCAGATTTAATGTAAGGGGAGATAATACTGACACTGAATCGGAACTGGTGAAAAGATAAAAACTACATGTGTTAATTTAGATAATTATGGTCAGTACCGAAAACAAATGCCACCATATATTTTTTTCTATATTATTACATATAGCATTAAAATCATTCATGAAATAATTACTGTGTCACATGTTTGCTGTTTCATTGAATAATATACCTCATGTAGTATACCCTGTTTTCACATCAGGATAAGGTAATTGATTAAATGATGCCACACACTTGCAGACCACATCATGACACCGCAATGGATATCTTAGATATAGAAAAGAGAGCACATCTAAGTGTGTCTTGGAAAAGTATATTTTCTGCAATATTTACCAAAATAATTGACCATGTGGTAATAGGACCTTGATTTTATTTCCATTTTTTGTATGTAATTTATGAAATTTGTCACAACTACTTTTCAGACTCATTTCATAAATCACATATTTACACTTGCAGTACTCCCTAAATAAAGCCTACTAAAATTTGCATATTTATTTACATATACTCAATAAAAATATCAATCAATTAAATTGATCTTGGAATATTTGATATCTTGGCGTCATCAATGACACCCACAGACTGGCTCCTACAGCTTCTGATATAATGTGACATCAGTTTAGCCGTAACCACTCGGTCACCACAGCCCCTTATTGTAAAGCACAAAACTAACATTGCAAAAAAGTAGAAACAGGTACAGTTTGTATCACAATTTTAAAATCGAGATATATTTGAACATGAAATGTACTAGATTAAACAAGTCTGCATTATCGTTGAATAATGTGACGGAATGATTTCTTGAATAAATATTACTCAAGTTGATGATATGAATAAAATGTAATAACTTGGAAAAATTATATTTAAAGGGAGATAACTGATATTTTCAAATATCAACACACTAACATATTTCATTAGACATTTGAAAGACATATACAGTGTTTGGTACACTAACTTATCAAATAACTTTTCATAAAATAAAACTTTTTTTGGAATGAACAATATTGTTTTCGCAGAGGTGTCTTTAATTGTTTCTTAGATGCATAGATAAAAACTCATTATGTGCAACATTTCGACAAATTACCAGGTATTTCACCTTACAAGTATAGCTCTGTTTAATTATCCAACACAAACTATGACAGTACAAGCAATGAGTCATTTCTGATATAAAAAAACCTATATCACATTGCCTATACTGAGAACATGCATTGATACAACATAAAATGGAACTTTACAATAAATATGTTATGGTACCCTAACATGTTAACTGAATCTATCAATAATAAAAAGTGAGTTTTATATGTCATGAGCTTATACATAGGCAACACATCATATTCTTTAACCAGTTTAATCAATTCTGCATTGGATAAGAGTTTATGATTCTATTCCTCACATAAATTATGGTTATATCATAAGAAAAAAAAAACTATGTTTATATCACATTAAAATTTCCATTTTTCAGTATCATTTATTTATAGCTTTACAACATTTGTATCGTGTGACATTTATGACATGTGCATGTTTCAAGGCATCTCTGACTAATCATGTGATCCTCTCACCCATACAAACATACAAAAATTAGTATGTCCTCTTATACATAAATGAGAAAAATCTTTTTCTTAGCCTTGGTTATTTAATGATCACATCTAAACATCCCGGAACAATTTTTAGTAAACTTTGTTATCAAAAGTTGCATCTTCATTATTGTCGAAGCATATAAGGTCTTCTTGTTGATCATCCAAGTTTCTGATCAATTCATCATCATCGTCATCTTTCATGATGGCTAAGCGGAATTGTCTGTAGCAAAGCAAAGTACATGTATGTGTTATACAATTGTGAATGTCTATTGCATGGTAGATATTCTATCATTATTTATTTAAATGAATACAGAATTCTTAAATGTAGGCATTTTTTTTTAATAATCAAATGTTTTATTTTCATACATAACTGGTATGTATCAGAGATCTGTGTCTGAATTTGAAATTTTTGAAAGAAAAAATTATTATTTATTTTTGTAAGGTTTCAAGTTTTTTTTCATTTCCCAGCAAATGATTGGAAGAGATGCTAATATTAGGACCTGGGTTCATCCTCTCTTACGTCATGGAACCTTGGAACGCTTGTTAAAAATTGTAAAATAAAAAACTAGATTGACACCTGTGATGTTGATCTCTGTCATAAGAACAAATATTTTTGGGAAAAAAATACACATGATAACTATCCCTATTAACGAAAAACAAATGAAGCTGGATGGCTGAAACAATCGGACTTAAAAATTCAAGTAGATGTGGCTATTCTCTGAGGTTGATAGATGGATTATATAACCTATCAAATTAAATATATTGACCAATGGGAAAGTAAAGCTTTATCCTGTTGGTAGTGTGGACTTTCTCAATACTTACAGAACTCCTCTTCTTTTCCGTTTCATGATGACAACAAGGCCACCGAAGATGATCAGGAAGACAACCAGACAGGAAGCTACCACAGCTATCGTTATCATAACAGCATCTTTAAGGTGAAAAAAATTAAAAAATAACTATTTTTTTCATGTTGTCATTCGATTGATACCATTCAAAATTATAGATGAGCTTTAAAAGATTTTATTTGATATTTTACCATCAACTTAAAATCACAGAAGCATTTGGGGTTACAATATTGGTATCTTAAGGAAAAGGAGTACGTATGGCAACTCAATAATCTTTCCCTGGGTATTGAGGTCACTTTACCTCATTCAAATAGGGAGCTATTTTTTCTCCCCTGCAGTTGATTCCTCCTGGCTTATGTTTGCCAACTTTGAAATCCACGTGTTGAGATACCACAATCTCATCACCAAGGAGTTGAAAAATTTCTAACAATTTAATTGACCACAGACAGACAACATTGAGTAATCTGACTACAGATAGAACATACTTCTACTTAATTTTAAAAATAGGTTATATTGAAATAAAGAAGAGACAACAAAAAGTAAACAACTGCTGCAATAAGATTCTTGTTCCCTGTTCTGTGAAGTGGAAATTTTAATCATGCTGATCTAGTTCTTTTTCAAGGTATAGATTCATATTTGCAACTTAACAAAGTTTTGAGATCCTCCATGAAGGAGAAGGAAATCTTTTACAGTTCATTTGAATGGAATGGTCACAAAGGCAAGCACATAAACTTTGTAGAATAAATGGTATATGTGTTTAGGAAGTTATTATTCCATTTGAAGTTCAAGAAATTATGACCTGTAAATAATGTTCATTCATTGGTCAGTCAAGTTTACCCGTGACTTAGTGATGTCGAGCAGGAGACCCTTATTCCAGAATGTAACAATTTTACATAGTTATTGAACCAGAAATACTCTCATCCCAAAATTTAACAATGCAACTTAATGTATACAGAAACTGAAAATACCAGCTTTAATATTCATATTTGATTTTCTGTGCAGTAAGAAATTAGGTCACTGTGACATTATTTCGGTCACCTTCATCCCATGGCGTAATAGAATAACTTGTATGAAATTACAAGAGAATTTCACTGCAGAGACGATTTCCCCCAAGATTTTATGACTTACTGGGATTCTTGTCATCCTGGACTGGCAACACATGTGGTATTGGAGTATCACAGATGTTTTCTGTACCAGGCGTACTCTCTGTTAGTAACTTGGTCACCTTAAAGGAACTAGAATTCCGAAGGTTTCCAGAACATCGACTTAAGGTCATTCCATCGTCAAGGTCACTGAAATAAAAATAATGATGCAAATTTATTGGGATTTGAAAAGATCATGCTTTTTCCAAAATTAATTTTATCCTGTATAATTACTTTATGTTGCAATAGGACTAAAAATTTCTAGAAGTTTTAAAAACAATTATTTTGAAAACTGAATTCAGAATGGGTCACAAACACAAAGTAATATGAACACAAAAATGTGATCAGACTTGACAGAACCTACAAACTAATAGTCAAGTGCCAATTGAGTTATTTAACAATCAACCATCAAGGTCAATATTTACTATAATTTACTATTACAAGAAATCTTACCTTTTACTCAAGAATATTGGTTTCAAGACATTTGGTGTCAAATAGTTCAGAGAAAAGGACAAAAAAGAGCAGTTTCCATTTGTAGTAGTCTGCATGACGATTGCATCCAAAAGTCCCTGAGTGACATTGATGCTGGTTACATTATGTGTGTACAATCCTAAGGCTATACTCCCTGTGTGCTTCAAGGTCTGCCAAGAACATGTCATGTATGTTAAGTTCCAGTGAACACACATTAATTTAGCTGCATTTACTCAGAACAAACGTTGACCACTATTCATGAAGGATTTCCACAGAGGTTTCCATGCATACCATTGAATGATTTGTAGTGGTTCAAGTAAAGTTTTCTATTTTTTTTTTCTTCTTAAATTATTTGATTTTTTAAACGTAAAGTAATTCTATGATAACAACAAGGGAAATGTCCATATTAAATTTGACAGAAATTTCATTATTATTATCAGAAAAGTATCAACAAGAAATATTTAGTAGTTGCCCTCCTATCAACCAGCTAAACAGGATATGTGCAAAGTTAATTTTCATATAATATTTGAGAAAGATTCATTACAACACAATATAACAAATTTAACTGTCAAAATCAAACATTGCAGTTTGTTCCCATCTTGGCAAATCCACTAACAAAGGACATATAATTTCTATTTGAAGCATGTGGGCAGGACTGAATTAAGGTGTGATTATCTTACTCCTGAGAAGGTATGAGTAAAAGTGTGATTATCTTACCTCTAAGAAGGTGTAAGTAAAAGTGTGATTATCTTACCTCTAAGAAGGTATGAGTAAAAGTGTGATTATCTTAACCCTGAGAAGGTGTGAGTAAAAGTGTGATTATCTTAACCCTGAGAAGGTGTGAGTAAAAGTGTGATTATCTTACCTCTAAGAAGGTGTGAGTAAAAGTGTGATTATCTTACCCCTGAGAAGGTATGAGTAAAAGTGTGATTATCTTACCCCTGAGAAGGTGTGAGTAAAAGTGTGATTATCTTAACCCTGAGAAGGTAGGAGTAAAAGTGTGATTATCTTACCCCGGAGAAGGTATGAGTAAAAGTGTGATTATCTTACCCCTGAGAAGGTAGGAGTAAAAGTGTGATTATCTTAACCCTGAGAAGGTATGAGTAAAAGTGTGATTATCTTACCTCTAAGAAGGTGTGAGTAAAAGTGTGATTATCTTACTCCTGAGAAGGTATGAGTAAAAGTGTGATTATCTTAACCCTGAGAAGGTGTGAGTAAAAGTGTGATTATCTTAACCCTGAGAAGGTAGGAGTAAAAGTGTGATTATCTTACCTCTAAGAAGGTGTGAGTAAAAGTGTGATTATCTTACTCCTGAGAAGGTATGAGTAAAAGTGTGATTATCTTACCCCGGAGAAGGTAGGAGTAAAAGTGTGATTATCTTAACCCTGAGAAGGTAGGAGTAAAAGTGTGATTATCTTACCCCTGAGAAGGTATGAGTAAAAGTGTGATTATCTTACCCCTGAGAAGGTAGGAGTAAAAGTGTGATTATCTTAACCCTGAGAAGGTATGAGTAAAAGTGTGATTATCTTACCCCTGAGAAGGTAGGAGTAAAAGTGTGATTATCTTAACCCTGAGAAGGTATGAGTAAAAGTGTGATTATCTTACCTCTAAGAAGGTGTGAGTAAAAGTGTGATTATCTTACTCCTGAGAAGGTATGAGTAAAAGTGTGATTATCTTAACCCTGAGAAGGTATGAGTAAAAGTGTGATTATCTTACCTTTAAGAAGGTAGGAGTAAAAGTGTGATTATCTTACCCCTGAGAAGGTATGAGTAAAAGTGTGATTATCTTACCTCTAAGAAGGTATGAGTAAAAGTGTGATTATCTTACTCCTGAGAAGGTTTGAGTAAAGTGTGATTATCTTACTCCTGAGAAAGTATGAGTAAAAGTGTGATTATCTTACCCCTGAGAAGGTATGAGTAAAAGTGTGATTATCTTACCTTTAAGAAGGTGTGAGTAAAAGTGTGATTATCTTACTCCTGAGAAGGTATGAGTAAAAGTGTGATTATCTTACCTTTAAGAAGGTGTGAGTAAAAGTGTGATTATCTTACCTTTAAGAAGGTGTGAGTAAAAGTGTGATTATCTTACCCCTGAGAAGGTATGAGTAAAAGTGTGATTATCTTACCTTTAAGAAGGTAGGAGTAAAAGTGTGATTATCTTACCTTTAAGAAGGTGTGAGTAAAAGTGTGATTATCTTACTCCTGAGAAGGTGTGAGTAAAAGTGTGATTATCTTACCCCTGAGAAGGTATGAGTAAAAGTGTGATTATCTTAACCCTGAGAAGATAGGAGTAAAAGTGTGATTATCTTACCTTTAAGAAGGTGTGAGTAAAAGTGTGATTATCTTACCTCTAAGAAGGTGTGTGTAGACGTATGGTTAAACTGTAGAAATCCCTTTTGATCTAAAGCATGATTCAGGGGAACACCTCCAATCTTTTCCCCAGTACAGGTGTTAAACAGTATAATGTAGTAATGACTAAAGTCTCCATGAGTGTCACCTGAAAAATTCAAGGAAGATTAATCATTTAGACTGTTGTTATATAGAAAATACAGGAATATTTTTCATGTTATTAATTCAATTATCTGCCTTTAAATCTGATGTTTTTAGTACACTGCAATATTGGAAACAACTGTACTTCTCACCTACCAGACCTATTTTCTTTTCTTTGACCTACATGTTTATCTTGCCCTTGAACTACAAATTTATCAGTTGATGTTACCTTTGACCTCTACATGTATTTTTATCTTGCCATTGAAATCTCAATTTCTTACGCTTCAGAACTCTTGATTTACCTGACCTTTGAACTCTATGGTTATCTTACCTTTGACCTCTACATGTATGTTTATCTTGCCATTGAACTCTCAATTTATTACGCTACAGAACTCTTGATTTACCTGACCTTTGAACTCTATGGTTATCTTACCTTTGACCTCTACATGTATGTATTTCTTGCCATTGAAATCTCAATTTATTACGCTTCAGAACTCTTGATTTACCTGACCTTTGAACTCTATGGTTATCTTACCTTTGACCTCTACAAGCATTTTACCTTGCCATTGAACTCTCAATTTATTACGCTACAGAACTCTTGATTTACCTGACCTTTGAACTCTATGGTTATCTTACCTTTGACCTCTACATGTATGTATTACGCTTCAGAACTCTTAATTTATCTTACCTTTGAACTCTATGTATTCCTCGCTGTTTTTGACCGAATATGTTACTTCATTGATGTAGACATGATTCGGCTTCACAGTGTGGTGTGAGGTTGACATGGTAACAGTGGGCAGTATGGAAGGTCTGAGAGGGCAGTCGTTAGGACCTCCAGGGGTAGGGTCTGTCAAGTTATAGATAAATCTTCCACATGAAGACAGTGTCTGTTCTCCTGACTAAAACATATTTCAAACAATAAAAGGTCTACATCAGAAATCAATGGCAGGTAGACATGCAAAGAAAAGTGAAGAAAAGAAACCAACTGTTACCATGTATTTCATATATCAACGAATCAAAGGACACAAAATTCTCTATCAGTATACAATGTACATCAACAAGGCATTGTTAGAAACAAACATTTCGACTAATGTATATATCAAAGAAAGATAGTGAGAACATGAAGAAAATCAACGAGATTGTATAAACCAAATTATCAATGTTTCGAGAACACATATGTACAGGGATCAGTCATTACCCAGGGGAGACAATTTATATCTCAGTCCTTACTCAGGGGAGATAATTTATATTAACAGGGATCAGCCCTTATTCAAAGGAGATGATTTAAATTTCAGTCCTTCCTCAGAAGATACAATTCATATTTCAGTCCTTACTCATGGGAGACAATTTATATTCACATGTAACAGTCCTTACTCATTGGATATCCTTTAAATTTCAGTCCAAACTTAGAGAAGACAATTTTTATTTACAACCCCTTGAACAATTTTTGTGGGGGAGATCATTTTTATTCACTGGGAAACAATGATACTGAAAGCAGACAATTGATATACACAGGGATCTATCTGTAACATCCTTACTCAGAAAAGACTCTCAGCAATCTTCACATAGTATACATGGGAAGCAAGAGAATCGGTGAAACTGATGAATGCTCCCCGAAAATGACTTTATTGGACACAAAATTTAATCAAAGTTGAAGTCCCTGAATCTGGTATATT